TATGATGACTGCTATGCTAAGAAAACGTAGATACTATGTCAATGTCAGAGTTGGTTTGTAGCTGTGGCATATTTCAGGAAATGGAACTACGACTGACGAGTTTGGATCATGATTCTAGTTATGAGACGCCACTGAATGTTTATTACTGTTAAATTGTTTAATTTGTTTCTGTGTTAACTGTTTTTAAGTACCTTGTTGATGCCGCATTGAATTTTTGCCTTGATTGTTCGCCTTGTTTTTGCTTGTTGTAAACCGCTATGAGTCGCCTTAGGGCTGAGAATGGCGGTATACAAATGAAGTAAGTAAATAAATAAATAAATAAATATTTTAGTAGTGAGATTAAAGCCATTAATGTAGGTCCTGTCTTGACTTCTCTCGTGGGTCGTGAGCAAACTAACCTATCAACCAAGTCAGGTGGCCAAGGGTCCATCAAGAGTAACATGCTGCTAGTTAAACAGTTTTTAAAAAAAGGTAAATGGGTAGATGTGGTGCTTGCTATGCAAATAATTGCTAAACACCCTTTTCTTCACAGACTGAATTTATTTATTTATTTATTTATTTATTTACTTCACTTGTATACAGCCATTCTCAGCCCTAAGGCGACTCATAGCGGTTTACAACAGTCAAGCACAAACAAAGCGAACAATCAATGCAAAAATTCAATGCGGTATCAACAGGTAATTAAAAACAGATTAACACAGAAACAAGTTAAGCAATTAACAATCATAGACAATCAATCAATTGGCGTCTCATAACTAGGATCATGATCCAAACTCGTCAGTCGTAGTTCCATTCCTAAAATTCATTGCACTTTTTATTCAAACGCCTGTTCAATAACCAAGTCTTCACTCTTCTCCTCAATACCATCAATGAGGGGGCCAATCTGATGTCCGTGGGCAGGGTGTTCCACAGCCGAGGGGCTTCCTTTTCAACCTCCAACCCCTAGTATTAATTGGCTACATCACACAAGGCAGGAATCCACAGTCCTTTTGAGGGACAGCACATAGATGCAGACTCCATGGATACAAATGGGCAACTATAACACTTTGGTGGCCTTTCATTCTAGACCTAAGTGTTTCTACAACAGTTTAGCTCAGCCACAAAAATGTAACTAGCAATAATGCATGTAAGCCCTTGTGACGTTAAGAACCAGTGTGGTGTAATGATATGAATGTTGGACTATAACTCTGCGGACAAAGATTTGAATCCCTGCTCATCCATGGAAACCCACTGAACAAGTCACGCTTTCAGCGTCTCCAAGAAAAGCAAAGACAAATCCCTACTGAACAAAACTTGTCATGAAAACCTGTTGATAGGTTTATCTTAGAGTTGTTAGAAGTCAGAAATGAGTTGAAGGCACACAACAAGAGAGCTGCTGGTCTCTCTTGGAAATATGTGATGGCTCAGTACCTACCAGCCATACTAATTAAATGGAACCTTGTTCTCATGCAGTGTGGTACTAAATGTCACTTTCCGTATTTGCATGAAGGATGACTGCTCCCAGGCATGTCAGAAAATATAACCTAAATAATAATTTTGTGGCCCAAGATTAATACTAACATACTATCCAAGGAAGCTTCAGTTCAGATTCCGCTGCAATACTGCTAGTCATGAACTCATCTTCATAAGTCAGTTTTCAGTATCAGTTTTGTATCTGTAAAATACAGAAAACAAATACCAGCTCTGCATGGCTTTTGTGGAGACAAATAAGAAATAATGCCACCATAACCATCCTTTTTATTGCAAAAACAGAATGTTAACTCGCATGTTGGCATTGATTTGTACCCCTAATTTTGGTTAACTATAGAATATAAAAAAGGTGCGTAAACAAAATATGTAAGAGGAGCCATTGTGAATACAGGCAGTCCCTGAGTTACCAACATTCGACTTACCAACAACTCACAGTTAAGAATGGGGCTAAAACAAGAAGTGAGGGAAATTTAACCCAAGGAAGGGAAATTCAATCCTGAAAGAGTTATCATGGGGAAAAGGTGTCTCTGCCAAAGTGGTATCACCAATCTTTGTTTCTTCAACGAGCCTAATTTTTCAAAATCCAATTATCACAGGGACAGAAAATGAGATAATCTTTTGAACAGGGGCACAGACAGGAAAACAAACACCACAAGGGTGTTAACCCCTATGTTATCCAACACACACACCATCTGGAATTTCACTTAAAAATGTACCTGTTCCAACTTACTAACAAATTCGACAAGAACAGACTTACAGAACCTATCTTAATCGTAATTTGGGGGGTTGCCTGTCTATCTTAATTATCAGCTTCAGGTGTTTACTACTCATCCATCTATTGAATTTAGTTGCCTAGATTGTTCTACTTATTTTTCTACCTCAAAAATGTTGACTTACACATTTATAAGATGCCATCAGGAATCTGGGATCTATCACTACCCGTGTTACAGTTTCTTTAAAAATGTATATATTAGCTCTTCATAGCCATGCAAAGAATTCAACCACCCATAGCTCAAAAATATTTTTTAAAACTAAAAAGCAGACTTTGGTTTTGCTATTTTCAAAAGTAACACTATTTTACTATGCCATTGGGGGGGGGGGGGGCTGGAATCAAACAACAGCGAATACCAAGGGCTCACTAACTTTTAAAAAATTGTTTTAGAAAAACAACATTTTTATCATCAACAAGTTTACTTGTTTGAATTATTTTTCTATAGTCCCATGAACCTGAAAGGAAAAAGAGAAAGTCTATCAAAAACAAGGTACAGGTTGACAAGTATTCAGACCCTCTTCAGAATAAAGAAAAAGAAGATGGTGAAACAGTGAATCCTGGTGAGATCTGAATAAGATGGCTGTCTATATTTATAATTAATGTTTTCTTTTATTTCTGAGAAATTCTACATCTAACCCTTAAGTCAATAATAATTATTATCCTATATACTTATGTGTAAACCCAGAAATTTTAATCAAAAAATAAACCCAAAAAACCTGCATAAACTTTTGCACAGGTCATTGTGAGTACAGTATGTTAAAATTGTTATCAAAAGATGAACCTTTCCCTTTTCCGAAAACACCAGCCCCCTGTACTTTCTCTGCTATGGCAATGCCTTTGGCCTTTTTGAATATCTGGTTGGAAAAATAGCCAGACAACTGACCCACTGAGGCGACATGGGTGCTTTCTCCTCTCTGGAATGACCCTCGACTTATTTATGGATCATATTAAAATCCATAATTTTGACTCCAAAACCTGCCCTTCAATACATGAAATTGAGTCATACATGAATCTACATGGCATTATTATTATTTTATCATTTATATTTTGCCTTTCTCCCAATAATGGGACTCAAAGTGTTTAACAACATCTTAAAATAATTCAAGTTACAACAGAATCTAGGGATTGAAATTTTGTTCCTCTGGAACTGATAAGTTCTCTCTCCTTGATGTATGCTTTATCTTCACCCATAAGGTGCTGCAGAAACGCTGTAGCTGTACCATGTTATCATTTTAGAATTCAGAGCTATACACGACTTAAGGGACTATGCAGGCTGCAGTCCTGTGGCATGTTTCTTGAACTACTTTGAACTCAGAGGGACTTGCTTTTGTGTAGACATTTATAGGGTTGCTTAATTAGCAAAGTATGATCCAGAATTTATTATGCACTTAATTTATTACACAGTATTTATTTTGTAAGATTCCTGTGAACATGGTGTGATGATAATTTGCTTGAAGGTGTATACATATGTGACTATATGTGGATTTTTCTGGATTAATACAGTAATCTTGTGGATGTTTCCTTAGTCAGTGATTCCAAAACACTAATCCTCCAGAGTTGTCTCCCGCCCCCCGTTGTCAGCTTCCAGAAGGCTTTGCTGTCTTGACCAATGATCAGGGATTCTGGGAGTTGTGGTTCAAAACATTTGGAGGACCACAGTTTGGAAAACACTAACTTAAACCTAAGTCCTATTGCAGTTAGTAGTGCTAATTTCTTGGTAATAGAATAGGATAGCAGAATTTGGTCACTAAATAGCTCTAATTATATTTTGTATACAATTTAAGCAGTTGGGAGTATCTTAATCATTGTCAAAGACATGCATTCTGGAGTAACATGAAATATTTTGTGTATTGATATCTACTATGTGGAATACTGTTTGTTCTGATATCAGATATATTTTAGCATCATACTGAAGAGGAACTTTGTAGTTCAATTTTACCATTATTTTCCTTTTATACCTTTTATACTGTTTTATGTTATGTCTTATCATTGTCATATATTACTTTCAAATTTTCAAATGTAATCAATTTGTTAATATTTGTCATTAAATAAAATACGTCTAATGTGTTTATATAAATGTATATTAAAACATATGCAAAAATAAAACAATTGTTTCTGTGGTTAAAGGTCAAAAGTAAAGGTTAGCTATTTGGAAGCATACATATGGGAGGCTTCTTGGGACACATTCGGATGATTTCACTCTTTACCTCTACATGTGAGGCTTTCCCTATACCTCAATATGTATTGAGATGAAAGCTTAGTTTTTACCTCAGTAGGCTCTTAGATGACAATACACAGAACTATATTAACACATCAAGAAGTCAGATTATAATACTTCTGTCTTGTAGATGTCAGCCATATTGTAAGCATTATGCCTGTTGAGAGTGGATGGTAACAAGTTTAATATGGGGGGAACCCCCAAACATATAGATGTAATGGGAGCATATAATTGGCTTGGGAGCAAATATGTGAAGTTCCCTCTTTGAATTACTGTGTTTGTGATGAAACAAATGTTTATTTATATTTGCTAATACAGCTGAGCCAAAAATATATACCAGACCTCAAATATGTTCCACAACTCTTGATCGATTGAGAGCATTTTCTAACCATATGGAGCATCCAAGTAAAAGAATTCATGCTGAGGCTTTTCATGAAACTCAATCTCTGGAATTTAAAAAATGCCATCATTCTATGAGTGGAAACGAGGAAATAAGTGAAATTGCACATCCTGAGAACATTGATAAGGTGAGGGGGGTATATCTTTTATTTAAATACTTCAGCAATGTGCTTCTACTTTGTATTTTGGGAGGGAGATGTCCTAATCAAACAGATGCAGTACAGTCACACCTCCACATTCATTAAGGTTAGGGACACAGGATCTCTGAAGGTAAAAAGCCACAAATAAAAAATGCTTTTTTAAAACCTGAGAGAACATCTCTATATGAATTTCTAGGTCTTTCAGCATGACTCTATGGTCAGCTTTTACTGGAAGTTGACCTTGGAATCACAACGGAGTACAGTACCTAAAAATCCCTAGAGAAATATTCTCTCTATAAATCTCTAGGTCCTTTGGTATGACTATAGGAAGTTGACCAGAGAGTCACACTGTTACACCTAGATATTTCAATAGAGAACATTTTGAATCAAATCCTTAAGTCAAAACTGCAAAAGTGGTGGCATGGCTGTATACCATTGCTACATCTGAGACATTCTCCCGTGTTTTGAAGTAGGAGTGGGCAACTTTTTTCTGTTGAAGGTTGTGATTGGGAGTCACTTTTCAGAGGCTGCATGCTCATGGTAGGCAATGGATTGAGATAAAGTGTTTCTGCCACACCGTTCTTCCTTATTCTCTTGCAGTAGGAGAAGAACTGGTTATTTGTGTCATCTCTTTCAAGGAGCTTTTAAACATTACTGTAGTTACTTGAGTCTAGTGCACCATAGAATCTAATGAGCACCTCAAATTTGAAAAGCCTGAAACAAAAAAAGGACTTGATGGTGAATGTAATGTGCCCCTCATCCTTGTTTGTACTGTTGGACAGTGGTGACAACCAATCCATCACTGGAAGTTACTCCATAGCCTTCTGGATAACATAGTATTTCCTATCCTCCACATCTTTCCACCTCCTGCCCTGCCCCCTATCCCCTTGCCTCCTGTCCCATTGGCAAACACTGACTGGCCTGAGGGAAAAAAGAGGGAGAAGTGGGACAGGTAAGACTACATTACTTGGCAGGTTTCTGTTCTGCTTCTTCCTCTTTTTCCCCCTAAGCCAGCCAGTGCCAGCCAGCATCCGCCAAAGGGACAGGAGCTGAGGAATGCTGCCACTGCCCAATGGAGCAAACAAAGAAGAGGAGGGCAATGGGGTATTTCAGAGGTACCAAAGAGTCCAAGGAATCAAGGGAGGAAGGCCACCAACTTCTAGCACCATTGAATTTATTGTGCACCGTCCTGGCGACATAATTTAGTTAAAAACTGCATGCATCAGACTCAATCAAATACGGTAGGTTAAGAAGCATGTGGCTTTATGGTTGACCACCTTCATTTAAAGTTTTAGTTCAGTATAATTTAATACAGTGACAGTGGTCATAATCCAGTAACAGGCATGTCAAAGAAAAACTGAGTACATTTCTAATGTTTTGTGCTTCAGGTCCCTTGCCAGTTTTTTTAGAAAGGTCTTTAAACTATCTCTTGGTTTAAAATGTGTGATAGCAGAAATTGTTATGTTCTCTCAGCACCAGAGGAAGGCAATGACAAACTCCTCTGCACACATCTTACCGAAAACCTCGTGTTTAGGGTTGCTATGAGTAAGAAATGATTTGATGGTATACAGCTGTCTAAGGGTTGCATGCCAGGTTAATTGAATCTAGTTGTTTCTTTAACTTAAGAGTCCAAATTTTCCCCTGTTATTGATTACTAGAGGGAGTTAGAATCTGGTACTTTGTAGATGTGGGGGTTTTTGTCATAAAGGAGGATACTGATGTCCCATGAGGAGTCCGCATGTGGAAAACTATTGCTTTCAGCTGTCCTACTAGCAATAGCAAATATGTCCCTACAAAAGAAACATTTAGGGGCGCTGTAGAGTTGCTTTGGCATCTATATTTACCCCACTGCTGTGGGAGTCATTCATTTGGATCTCGCATATGCCAATCTGGATCAAACTTTCCAGTTCTAATTGTTGTTCAAAGTCTTTTTTTTTTTGCTTTGTCATTAATGTATGGTTTTGTGAAGCAAAATTTATTAAATATTACAGATGGTAGGCTAAAGTTCACATGTAGAGTAATTTCATAGTTCTGACTAGAAGACGATCAACACAAATGATGACTCCTGGATTTGGTATTATGGTTATAACATTTTTATGATGTTACATGTTTTATTTGTAATTTTATATATGATGTATTGCTTTTTATTTGATTTTATACATATATGGGATTGAATATTGCTATGTTGTAAGCTGCTCTGAGTCCCCCTTGGGGTGAGAAAGAGCGGGATATAAATATAGTAAATATATAAATAAGATATAACCAAAATCTGACTAAGAGTGAATTCAAACTAGTTTTGTGAAATGTTTATGTAATCGTATGTTTCTTTACTCTTTTGATCTCTTCTTCTAGGAAAAAATGTGTTTTAATATAAATCAATTTTCTGCTTCAAATACAAGTTTTGAAAACACCCAGAATTCCTCCATCGCTTCTATCAACAAATCAACCAAAAGTGGCTATACGCCACTTGAGCTCCAGTTCCTAGAAATGAAAAATCAATATAAGGATGCTATTTTGTGTGTTGAATGCGGTTATAAATACAGATTTTTTGGCGAAGATGCAGAGGTAGAGTATTTTTTCTTTACAGCATTGTATTCTCTCTGTATATTATTGCTGTTAGCACTGTCAAACAGATAGGTAATCCACCACTGGGATGACAGTGAATATCATTCTCAAGTGTTAAGCAGTTTACCTGAGTCTAGAGGGCATTTGGAGAGGACCAGGTTGCCAATCTCTACTGTAACATATGTCCAAAGGTGCACTGTTAAGCCTATAGTCACTCAAGCATTTGTAGGACTAACCATCCATATTTATTAGATAAGCGACTGAATGCTCTTCATTGACCTAGATGGACTTCTGTCTCTTGTTCCATGAAAAAGGTTGGATATAATATTTAATCACATGTCTGCTATTTAGATATTTCTGAATCCTGATGCATCTATGTAAGTATTGATGTGATTGAAGGTTCATGTGAAACTACTTGGAGCTTTTTTTCTAGGTAAAACTATAAAATTCCTAGCTAGTAGCACATTTATTCTTGTATTTATTCTTGTTCAGGGATTTTTGTACAAAAAATCCTGCTACAATTCTTTTTCAATACCTGCTCATTAAGTGTGTAATTTACACATGAACAAGATTCATGACATTTTCAGTGCTGTCAGACTGAATTGCTAATTATTCTCATGTTTTATAGATTGCTGCTAAAGAACTGAACATCTACTGTCATAAGAACCACAACTTTATGAGTGCCAGCATACCAACTCATAGATTATTTGTTCATGTTCGGCGTCTAGTAGCAAAAGGATATAAGGTTTGGTCCTAAAATGATGTACCTAATTACATTTTTATTCTGTTCTGAATTAACTAATTTTTTTTAAATAAATAATTTTTCACTTCACTGGTATTTTTGTTTTTATTTTATCAGATGTCTGGAATATGCCTTTTGAAACTATAAAACAATGCCTATAATTTCACTGCATTTCTTTGTGAATGTATCTATGCTTTAACAAAAGGATACTCTTTGCCCTTTTGTTTCCCTTTCGTTTTTGTTTTTTTGGTTTTTGGTATGGCTTTCTATTATGTCATTCAAATTAAACTTTCTCATTGACCCAGATAGTTGAATCATCTAACTCAGTGTTGTGAACACTAACTGGTAGATGTTTGCCATGTTTTTTATTCAGGGTCTTTCACACCTGTTTGTGTACAAAGCATGTGCACAAGTAGTCTTCTAATACATCCTTTTTGGCTCCTCCTTTCTGTCTTTTCTATTGAATGATGAAGTACATTATGTGGAATAAGATGGAAACACCCCCTCATTTGTTTAAACATATCATATGACATTTGTGGATTTATAATTGGAATTCATAGTCCTGCCTTATTTCCACCCATGCACAACACCACATTTTTTATATTGGGATTCTTACTTTAATTGAATATAATTTCATAGTTCAATGTTTTACATATTTTGCTTGTTTTGCAGGTAGGAGTTGTTAAACAAATAGAAACAGCTGCTTTGAAGGCTGCTGGAGAGAACAGAAGCTCTCTCTTTGCCCGAAAATTAACAGCATTGTATACAAAATCTACAATTCTAGGGGAAGATATCCTTTATTTTAATGTATACGGATTCTTATTAGAACGAAGGGTGATAAAGTTAGAATGAAAAGTTGGACCATGTCCATTTCTTCATGATAAGATCTGTCTTCATATAACTACTGTGTGTCTGCAGCAACAATTATTTATCTTGAAATCTTACCTCTTTCTTTGAGTAAGCCTCCAGTGATTCGATTCTAGTCACCCCTTAAACAAAGTACTTCTTCACATTATGACTTAGCCAAGATATAATTATTTCAGTTCCATATGCCCGATATATTGTTTTATCTAACAGCTGTGTGGAGAACTTGTTTTCCTTAACATTTGTTAAATGTGAATCCTCTGCTGAAACTCAATAATCTTGAGGATGCTGAGGAAATACCATCTGATGTCTGTGATAATTATCTCCTTTGTATTTCTGAAAGCAAAGAAAATATAAGGGATAAGAATCATGATGTTCACATAGGCATGGTGGTAAGTCCCCTTGAAGAACATTTGTAATCTTTCGAAGTTTTTGTTTCTATCTTTTATAGCAGCAGTTATTTTGAGAAGGATAGTAGAAAAAGTTAAAGAGTAAGTCCATCTTTACTTTGATGTATAATATGAATCCAGAGAAATGACAGTGGAAAGATGTATATGGATTAAAGGAAATGTGTGTAGGTGAAATGTAACTTTGTTTCTCTAACAATTCCCCAAGCTTTTCTAAAAGGTTCTCCGAAGAATCAAGAAGACTTCCTGAATGGCATGGCCTTAGTGTGTAGTGGAAATTGGGTTTTTAAAACTAACCTGAAGTACTTTCTGTGGGCAGAACTCTCACTCACAGAAAGTTCTGATTAACTAGTGTTAGAAGCAGGACACAAGAATCAATTTGTCTTGGTTAAATCCAGCAAAGCTAATCTTACACAGTTCCATGATGAATGTGACATTAGGGAGGACTTAGCTTGGGTGTCACACACACTTGGAGGGTTGTTACACGAACTTCAAAATATTTTTGAATTGTGCATATTTTTATGCAGAATACCCTCAAGAAGAGGGATTAAAACACCAGCAGTAAATTCTGGTTTTGGTAGAACAAATCCTGATCCTAATATTGAAACCCAATGGAACTTCTGAGTTTTAAAAACTTTTTCAAAAATGGGTTTGGGGTAGTGGCTGATATTGAAAAGGCCACACTTCCCCTGCCATTGCTTTAGGAAGTAGACGGAAGAACATTCTGAGTTGAATAGGATTATTATCCAATGATTATAATTAAACTATTTTTACAAATATTATTATGACCATTAAAATGTGTCTCTTTTCAGGCTGTTCAGCCTACTACAGGAGAAGTTATTTTTGACAGTTTTCGGGATTCTGCAGCTCGTTTAGAGCTGGAAAGTTTAATTTTACGCCTGCAGCCTGTTGAGATTATTCTTCCCAAAGATGTGTCTGATCAAACTGAAAAAATTATCAGTGCTGTCACTTCTTTAAGGTAAGCATCTACACAATAGATCAGCCCAAAGCTTTGCTTGGATACTGGTACCAGTCCCTGAGATTTGCTAAAACCACAACGGCAGAGTAATATGAAAACTGAACATAAAGTCTTGGCTAATGGAAAATGTGCTGGGAAAGAAATATAAAGTTGTAATTAAGGCATTTATGGTTGCCTGCCGTAGTATTTGTACATTGATACTGATTTATTTAGCATATTTGAATCCTGTCCTCATCCCAGAGGAGGACTCAGGGTGGCTTGACAACAGGCATTCATTCAGTGCCGACAACAGTAATAAATGATAAAAGCAATTAAAACAATTCGTTAATGCTTTAAAATTACTAAAACATTGTTTTAATCACACAGAGTTGAAATCATAGACCAGGTCAGTCCATTGTCATTCACACAAATTTGGTCTCATTCTAAATTGCTGCCTCTACTGTTCGAACACTTGGTCCCATAACCAGGACTTGAGTTTCATTCAAAAGGACAAGAGGGAGGGGACCAATCTAATGTCACTGAGTTGAGATTTCCATAGGCAAGGGGCCACCACTGAGAAGGCCCTGTCTCTCATCTTCACCAGTTGCGCTTGCGAGGATATTGGGACCGAGAGCAGGGGCTCTCCTATCGATCTTAGACTTCGCGATGGTTCATAGCAGGAGGTTCATTTAGACAGATAAGCTGGTTGCTTTTGCAGATTGATTCTTCAATCCTTCTGGCAGGATCCTCCTTCCCTGTCTTTTTTATGCACACGTGATTCCATGATATTGTGATTTGCCACTTTTTCTTCTGTTGGCAAGGGGAATCTTCATTCATCTCATCATCAGAGTCTTCTGGCTCAAGCAGATGGTACATTAGCCCAGCCCGATTTGGCCATACGCTGACTGCATTCAGACCTCTTACATACCACAAGATGTTGAGGTCCAACAGATTCTGAATGAGGTTTAAAAGCTTTCCATTCAGCACTCCTATACCATTAAATGAAGAAATAAATAAAAACACTTGACTTTGCTTTGTCTGCTGATAGGTCCAGCCTGTCCTTCTCATTGATCAAATACATTTAGCTGCCATCACTCTTTATTACGTGTGGAATCCTCAAGGCTCTGAAACATTCTGCTGCACTGCCTGGACAGTGATCTCTATCTGTGTTAATATCTCAGCAGATGGGGGAAGAAGCCCTTTTAGCATCTTGCCTCATGTGAACTGGGTTTATTACCATATTTTATTGAATAATAATAATTTTATATCCTTTTTGAAGGGGAGAGGAGTGTGTGAAGGGGGAGAGGAGTGTGTGAGGGAATGTTTACAGTTATAGGGCTCCCCTTGGCTGACAGCTTAGGGAAGACCTGTAGCTGCAAAGCTGCTTGCGCACCTGCTGGTGAAAGCTCCGAGGTGTCTCTCAGCTGCCGCCAGCTGAGGGAGACCCCACAGCTCTCATTAGCAGGCACGCAGGTGGGTGAAGGCTCACTCACCCTCACTTCTCTCACCACCATAGCTCAGAGGGAAAATATTATCAGGCAACTGTTGCTACTTCACATAATAGTCACACTTGTGAACTAAGGGTGCAAGTATTATGCGAGGAACCCAAAACAACCAGGACCCAAAAAGGGGTGTGTGTCTATTTTGCAATGGCAATTGCTCTGACAGATTCCCATGGTTTTCATTGTGCTCATCTTCTCTCATCATTCATCTCCAGTCCTTCTCATGATACAACTAGAAGTGATAGAAGGATTTAGTAGGAGTAGATGGTTTGAGAGGAGGTGTTGAGTACTGGAGAGTGTGTGGGTGTTCTCATATGCTATTAAGTATTAGGGGGCATTTCAGGCAAGAATTGCTTCAAAATATTAATGGGAAGGTTTGGGGGACTGGCTTCAAGGACCAAAAAAGTTTAGCCCAAGGATTATATCCACCCACTCCTGATTTAAAAGATTTTGTTCTTTTAAATCTTACAAGAGTCAGGTAGCTGGCATTGTGGCATTAATATCCTAACTAGACCCCATTTGATTTTGGGAGCTAAGTAGGACAAAGTCTGATTAGTACTTGGATGGGATATCACCAGTGAATATCAGATTCTCTAGTATCTATTGCAGAGGAAGAAACTGACAAAGCTACCTCTGAATCTTCCTTGCTCACTTTATTTTTATTTATTTTATTATTGCCTGAGAAAACATGAAATTTATGGGTTAAGTTGACAGATGTCTTGAGGGCACATACACATATTTCAAACTGGTGATATTTATTCAGATTTAAAAACATTTCACCACTAGAGGGTCCTATAGCATTCCATTTTTGGCTAGTGCATCCTGTAATGTTTCTGTTTCTTCTCCCAAAATATTTTTATTAGGCACAGAAAAATGAGTGCGTATTCCTTAGCCATAAACTAGGAATGGGAGTAAAGACAGCCCCCAAGTTATGAACAAGATAGGTTCTATCAGTTTGTTCCAAAGATGAATTTGTATGTAAGTCAGAACAGGCACATTTTTTAAGTTTAATTCCAACCAAAAACATATGTTTTAGCTTTGGATAGCATACGGAAGAGTTAACACCTCTGTGGTATTTGTTTTACTGTCTGTGCCCCTGTTCAGAAGATTTCATTTTACTTACTGTCCCTGTGATACTTGGATTTTGAAAAATTGAGGCTTGTTGTGGAAACAAAGACTGGCGATAAAGCTTCAGTGGAGACACTTTTCCCCCATGCTAACTCTTTCAGGAGTGAATTTTTGCCTTCGAGCAGATGCTTGAGAGGTCAAGGAAGATTGAGATAAGAGAGGCAATTTATCTCAATAAATCAACAAATTTTCCTTTCTAGGGGTAGATTTCTCTCACTTCCTGTTGTCGCATCCCGTTCTTAACTATGAGTTGTTTGTGAGTTGTCTGTTTGTAACTTGGGGACTGCCTATATTCAGAATGGCCCCTCTCACATATTTGGTTAATGTAAAATCTCTTTTTATATTCCATAGTTAACCAAACCTGGGGTAAGAATCAATGCCAACCTGTGATGGAGGAGGAAGTAGCAGGCATGCTGATAGTGTACTTACAAATTAATTTGGGCTTTCCACTGAGCGGAAATCTTCTTTTGCTTGTCTATAGTTATGAAGCACTTGTTCCATATTTCAGGCTTTAGAAAATCAATTGTCGGTAATGTATACAGTAGTTTTTATAATGCTGAATATGGGCAAGAAAGAGAGTGAAATAATAAAGCTTTTTAATAGAATACAAGTCTAATCAGTTGCTTAAGTATCTGAAATCCAGATTTGCAGCTCTAATTGATGTGAATTATACTTTCAGTTTTTTAAAGGACTGGCAATCTTTGAACAGCTATTGAAGTGGGTTATTTAACTTGCCTTAGAAATGAAATTGTGTGCATTCAGTGGCACTATCAGGAACAACAGAAAGAGATGATCCCTTAAGTGCATTCTAGATCTTCTGTCTACTCTCAAACTGGAATATACATTTTTTGGTCTGGAATTTACCACATCCAGTTCATTCTTTGGTATGTTTTGGTTGTACTGTCTACTTGTGATTATAAGGATTTTCTTATCTCAGACCTCCTTTCAGGGAAGTTATGGAATGGAATTATTGGTGCATTAGTGGTTCTTCCTCTACTTCCTCGTTATGTTCTAGCTGTATACAGTCATTTGCTTCCTAGATCCTTCTGCTGACCTCATCTACACAAATTCAGCCATTGGCACTTTATCAATTACAACTAGATTCATGTTGATACTTATTGATACTGAGGTTGAAGAGCTACTTAATGCTTAATTTACTTGTATACTCAGGATGCATAGTTATGTATAAAGGACTGTACAGAATGGAAAGTATGATCTCTTCTTTGGCTTTGCTGCAAACTGATGAAATGTAGAAAGTAGATACAATTTTAATGGATTTTTTGTTGTTGAAATATGACCTTTATCTCCTTGAAGTCTTTGTTACTTCTACTCCATTTGAAATATTAACCAATTTAGAATACTAGTATTTTTAGTGTGTTTGTTGTCCTCACAAAACGTTTGATTTAAGGAAATTCCAGTTCTCTGGGAGTTGTAGAGCAACTTTCCCAACCTTATTTGTGCACTACTTGGCAGCCCATTTTCATAAATTCTAACCTTCATATTAGCAAAAAGTTTCAAATGCTCATCTTTTTTGGCTAAATTGCCTTCCCAAAATTAGAGTGTGCATTAGATTCACATAATATGGCAATCTTAGTGTTGAGTCAAAGCAAATGGGGAAAACTATTTCAAGAATGCCTATTTGAGGGACCTCATCTCTAATTTAATTGCCATGGCTCAGTGCTATGCAGTGCTGGGATTTGTAGTTTAGTGAGATGTCAGCATTCTTTGGTATCCCCCATAGCATTGAGCCAGAGCAGTTAAAGTAGATTCATTCTACAGCATAGATGCATCCCAAGATTTTCTTTCCCTTTGCTGAAAGCTTTAGTGTTCTAAACTGTAATGCTCCCCTTTTTTGGCCAAATTACATAGAGGCCACTTTTTGCCAGTGCGCATTACAATTGCAAGCAAATTCTTTCCTTTTTTTGTTTATGAGTAATATAGTCGCTATTATTTCAGAAGTATATGTTGAAATGTGAATACGTAGTCCAATAAAGGATTTAAAAGCCATGGAATCATAAGGTGGACAGACTGTGCATATACATTTTCATTCAAAACTCAAAAGATACAATTAATTCAAGTAAATACATAACAGATTATATAAAAACCCTGCATTACAGTAATTAATACATTACATCTGTTATTTTAATTTATTAATATTTGAAAAACTGTATGTTTTAAAATATTTATAAAACACAACAAATGTTTTGTATACAAGAACTGCTGCTGTAAGAGATGGTCTTAAATCTAGAATTTCCTGCAGTATTTATTTTTATAAAGGTGTAAGAAAAGAAAACCCTTTCCACCAGTTCTGTATTAGTAAATCGCAGAAACCTAAGTGCCCTTCTCTGCTAACAAGGGATTGTTAAAATTAACAAGGGATTTTTCTTTGGATTCAGTAGTGTCAGCCGAAAGTCATTTATTTATTTATTTATTTGCTGTATTTGTATACCGCCTTTCTCAGCCCGTAGGCGACTCAAGGCAGTTTACAGGGCAACAATTCAATGCCCACAATCCCATAAATACAATTAAAAACATTAACATATAATATAAAAACAGTAGCAAAATCAGTTAAACAATAAATCATTAGCGTCTCCGTGTTAAAAAACATTGTCCGGTCCCATCATCTATTCGTTCCATTTTCCTACTCTGCATTTACAAACGCTTGCTCAAAAATCACGTCTTGACTTTTCTTCGGAATGTTAAAAGGGAGGGAGCCAATCTGATATCTCTAGGGAGGGTGTTCCATAGCTGAGGGGCCACCACTGAGAAGGCTCTGTCTCTCGTCCCTGCCAGACGTACTTGTGATTAAGGCGGGATCAAGAGCAGGGCCTCCCCAGACTTTCTTAAGGTCCTAGATGGTTCATAAGGTATGTCATGATCATTAAAAATCAACATGGGTTTCTCAGAAACAAGTCATGTCAGAATAATCTTGTATCTTTTTCCAATAGAATTTCAAGCCTATCTTGGTTTTAGGAAGGCATTTGACAAGGTTCTTCATAATACCAGCTAATAAAATATGGGGTGGACAATGCTAGTGCTAAAATAATGACAAAGAGATCTAGAGAAGACCAGAAATAACTCCCTTATTGAACACTGCTCACTGGACTGAATGAGGTTCCTGCTTAATTTATGCACCAGTACAAATGTATATGTAACCACAAAATACAATATAGAAGAATCATTACAAGGGGTAATTACTATGACTTTAGCAAAATTGAAAGACCCATGTACTTAAAAATATCTTCATTAATCTACATTAATCTACAGGAAAGCTTAAAATGATTAATTGGAAAATTGGCAAGGGTATTTTTTGTAGCTGTCAATGGTTTCTTAAATCCGTATTAACTTTTAAAACGAAACATTAATTAGAAAAGTAATTGCGTAGCCAGCTGTTCATCGCTTGCTGTCCAATGCCATATATTGAGGAGATTGCAAAGTCAATGTGAGAGTATGGAGGGGGTGTTTAAAATGTCTTGTCATCCTCAAACAGTTTGCTTTACATTACAGCCTTTTAATTGATAAGATAATTGGAAAACTCCTATTTACTGAATGAGCAATGGCAAAAATGCGTTTCAACATGATTCCAGTTGATCTCTGCTTTATGCAGATATCTTAGGTGCAATACAGTTGCATCACCCCAACTGTTATATAGTTAGAGCTGTAATTTTTTTTCCAAATAAACCTTAAGAGTGTTTGGACAGTTATGGCAATTTGTAATTCATAAATAGATAGGTAGTACTTTTCATTGTGGTGTGGAGTGAAATTGTACTGTCTAATTATTAACACATGAGATGTTTGGGAAATATGATAGAAAATAGTGCTGCTTGTGGTTGTATTTTGGACCCAGTTACCATATGCTGCTGACCTATCCCTTCCTTACTCCATCTCAGCATCAAAGGCAATTTATAAACTATGCAGAGAGGGGCAGCTTTTTATGATATACTGGGCGTCCCCTGCCACGCATTGCTGTGGCGCAGTCTGTATATGTGTTCTGTGTGTGTATATATTTGTATATATATGTGGCTTTGCAAATGCATTGTAATGTATTTTTTATTTTTTGGGTTTTTAAATCCCTTCTGCTGTGTTTTTCAGGGTTTTTATGAGTGATGGTCAATCATTAGCCCGATAGATGTCTTGTGTCCAAATTTGGTGTCAATTTGTCCAGTGGTTTTTGAGTTATGTTAATCCCACACACTAACATTACAATTTTTTTTATATAGATGTGGGCGGTGTGGGTAGACTTTCAGACCTATAAAATCATTATGTAGACCTTATTTGCTTGCTTGCCCTCAACTAGGTTTCTGTCAGATCTTAGAGTGCATCTATACTGCAGAATCAATGCAATGTAACACAATTTCAACTGCTATGGAATGCTGGGAGATGTAGTGTCAAGACCCAGGCGGACCAACGAGGCGAAACAGCAGCTTAAGGGTTAACAAAAGGTGTTTAATGGCAAATTAACAAGTCAAATGACTCTTATCAGCAGAGCGTGTAAACAAAAGAGCCTGCGGCTTGCAGGAATGTAAACAAGGCAGCAACCCAGGCAGTCTGGGCAGAAAAAAGGAAACTGAAGTAAAACAGACAAACAGTTCGTGGTAAGAATGGAATACAGGCAGTTCAAAAATCACAAAGCAAAAAGCAGTATGAGGAACGGTCCGAAGTCAACGCAGGAGACAGGCAGAATCGCAGAATAGTCAAGACGGTCCAAGGTCAGGGCAGGAGACAAGACTCACAGTTCCAAGGCAGGCAAAGTAGTCAGCACGGTCACGGAAACACGATTCTGGATGCAAGGACTCAAGGCAAGAGTTAACAGCAGAATACACAGGTACACAACACTTTGAACTCTGCAACATGATGGACCCAAGGCTACTCCTTAAATCCCATCAGAATCACTAGATTCGCCTCCAGGTGCATCCAGTTCCACAGGTGAACTGCGTTCCCTCCATTGTTGCCAGTCTGCACTCCGGGCTGCATCCTGAGAAGCAGTATCCGAAACCCATGGGTCTGTGAACCCTTGGAACTCATCACTGGAGGTTGGAGCATTAATCACATCCTGAACCTCCTGGACCCTAGTCCAGTCAAGCTCTTCATCATCACTTTCAGACCCGTAGCTATCTGCTATCTCTTTAAGACGCTTGGAAATGGATTCCTCATTGCTATCTGAACTGCGTGCTACTCGCTTTACACCACGGTAATCCTCCATCTCCATCTCTTCATGAGTAAACCCCTGAAACTCTTCCCCATCACTAGATTCTAGGAACATGTCCCTAATGCGCTTCAGCTGCTGCTGAGCGTCTTCCTCTTCCAAGCCTCGTTTCCTCCTACTAGCACTAGTAGATACATGAGGCACACGCTGAGTTACAACATGTAGTTGATGAGGCATTAGCACTCTTGGAGAGAGAAATCTAAAGACATTTAAAAACAACAATTCCCTGAGTTCCATAGCATTGAGCCATAGGACTTCAAGTGATGTCAAAGTGAACTAATTCTATGGCATAGATGCGCCCCTTAGTTTAAAACTCCAATGTTTAAGTGGGGATTTGCAATAACAGTTGGTCCTAAGTCATCTCCCACATTCCATTTTGAATTTTGCTTTTTTGTGCTTGCTAGCTTTTATTAGTTGATTTAATTAAATTTAGATGGCTTGCTTTCAGTAGATATTCTCTGCATAATTTACATCTTAGGTTAAACAAAATTACAAAAGAGCAAATAACAATTATAGCATGGCAAAATTCCTCAACTGAGTTAGCATAAAATGTAAGATTAGAATCAGTGCTGATCAAAGATGGTTTAAGTTCTTCACAAACTAGATTCCTGCCTGATACTAACTATATTACAAATTAGAAAAAAAGGTTTTCAATAAAATCTAATTATCCTGAGTTGTCATGATTGGCATACCACAAAAACTGACCAAAATTGTAGTTAGTTTGTTATAGGCATGTTATTCTTACAAGTATAAGGGCTTATCTAGAGAAAATCTATTACCTAAAATTGAAGACAGACATGATACTGTTCAGGAATCAAATCTAATTAAAGACATATCGGTCTGGAAAAAGGGCCACAATTCATATCTAAGCTTGGTTTTTAAAGTTTATATTGAATAAAAGATTCCTTAATCTCGATTTGTTTATACATATTGAAGGAAAACACTATGTAAGTTTCAATGTATTGAAGAAAAGTTTAAAATGTTTGTTTTTCTTCAGGGTGCAGGATGATAGAATTCGAATAGAGAGGATGGAAAATGAGCTTTTTGAGAACAGCAGTGCTTTCCAGCTGATAACGGATTTCTATAGCAATCAAATGCTTGATAGTACAGGTACTTAATTCGGAAAGCCCTTGAGTATTATCTGATTTGCATTTGTTTGTGTTAAAGATGACTTAATTATTTTGTAAGACCTAGCATCACTTTTTAAAGTTACGAATACTATAAAGGGAAATTAAGTATTCTAAGATTAATATGTCTGTTGACATTCTGCAGTGTCTGCAGACATTTTTACACATAGCAGAAAAGTTTGGAAACATTACTTTTTTGTACCACAACTCCCAGCTGTGGCTGGAGTTATGACATTGTGTTCCTAAATAGCTATTTTTTTCTGAGTTCAGTGTTTTAGAATGTAAGCAGCAGAAAAAGGCCATTTCATATTTCTTTATTTTTTTTATACCCCCTCCTCTCATTTTTACTTTCAAATGATTGCAATCAAAGCTTAAAGAATAATTCAAGACTTCATTTTGCACTAATAGATCGAATAGCACATTGAGCCTGATAGATTCTAAGAACGGTAATAACATAAGATATCCTGAAAAATTTCTAGAATATTTATCTCCGCAGTGATTTTGATAAGCTTGTAACTAGATTGAACATCATGAGCTGTAGTAATAAATAATAATAATAATCTTTATTTGTATCCCACCCTATCTCCCCGAGGATACTCAGTGCGACTCACAACGATATAATTATACAAATAATCGTGGCAACAACGCACATAAATATATCCAATTTAAATTAAATAAATATTTAACAATATAAAACAATTTAAAAATAAAGCAGCATTTTAAAAGGCATAAGGGATATCACTTAACTGAAATCTAGACAAAAACTTGATGGCTGAGGACAGACTGCTTACCTAACACTAGGGAGCACTCTACTCAACCCATACTGTTTATTTTATCTACATGTCAGGTGAACCAAGAAAGAAACCAAGGATGCAAACTACATCAGAGATAGTCAACTCTGGTAATTCTAGGCACAATTTTTTATTCTCCCCTAGATTTCAGCAGGATGTTCCCAACTTTTTTTTTATAAAATCCATACCTTTATGCAAATATACATAAATAAATAAATCAAAACAAACAAACAAAAACAAAAGATCTTGGCACTGGGAGTGCATTTGCCTATTTAAATACTATCCTCCAGCTGTTTTAGGCTCAAAAAAGAGGAGGGAAACCCTGTTTTTCAGTTTTAAAACTTTACTACTTTGGGGAAAAGCAGAAGAACCCTTCAGACATAGATTCTAAAGAATTTTCAGGATTCTTTATGTGATCCATAAAATTGTTTTTAAGCAGTCTAGAACATTCAGTCCCCCCCCCCCGTCCCCCCTCCAGTTTACTGAAATCAACTTTCTTAAAGCTTAGAATGCATGTCTGACTATGCCTAACTTCCTCTTTCTGCTGTATAACCAACTCCATGAGAACACAGTTATATCCTCCCAAGGATCCCGGCTCTGTGAAACTGAGATTGTGATCAGTCCTAAACTGTTTAGTTCATAGTGAGGAGTAATGAGGAGCCAATTTGAACAGATTACTAAAATATGGGGTGAAAAGCCAGATTTTTATAAGATTGTGTGATAAAAGCTGCAAAAATACATCTAAAGAATTTTTTTAAAACATGTATTTTTCAGGCTCCCATGCTCTGTCAGTACTTGTAAAGTTGGATAAGACAGTTCTATGCTCATTGGCTGCAGTAATTGTGTATCTTAAACAATTTAATTTGGAAAGGATACTCTACAACCCTAGGTAACTATCTTAAAATTCAGAAAACTCATCCTAAAATATGTGCTACATAGATATCATTTGACATTATTTCACATATTTTAAAAAATGCTAGTTGCAAAAATAAGTACACTGTGATTGTGATACCTGTGCTGTAAACATTCTTATGCAATTACTTTCAATTTTAGTGAAATAGTAATTATTTGGTTCCAGTTAGTGTTGTCAGAATTTAAGTTAGATTTTGCAATAGCCAGATATAATTTAAAACAAACTAATAACAACAATCACTGGTTCTTTCTTTTTCCTGGAGCAGAACAATTGTTGTTTCTTCATGTGCGATATTTTGTCAGATCAACAAATTACTGCTTGGACTTTAATTAATTTTTTTCGAGATATCTTAGTTCATTGTAGCTAAATTTCAGACTTTCACTTGCACAGTAGGATCTTTTTCCTCTTTTTACCCCTTTTGACAGCATTCCATGCCATTGCAAAACTTGCTTGGGGCCTTTTCCTAACTTCATGTTAACTGCATTGGCAACATCTTTGAAAAGGACTGTAGTTTGTTGAGGCACTCAACCCTTATGACAAAGAATTCTAAATATCCCTCCCTATGAAGAAAGCGTGAAATCTGCTTTTGTGTAGAATCAGGTGTGGTAAAATCATAATTGTAGTGGAATTATTGGAAATTTAACTGCACATTTTAAAATAGCTGTTCTCAAGTTATTTTATATCAGTAAAATGGTTCAAATATGACTTTGGAGGTTTTCCTCTCTATGGTTCTTCTACATAACACACTTTTGCCAGCAACATACAGCGCCATGATATTAGGGGTGCTGGTGGCATAGTGTGTCACCTACTTGATGGATAAACTTTAATCTCTACTGTGAATGGATTCTTTCTTCTCTTAGTAATTTTAAGATGCTATCAAGTGAACCTGAATACATGGCACTTAATGGAATCACATTAAAGAATCTCGAAATCTTACAGAATCAAGTAAGAAAACATTTATCTTCTGCTCCTATTTGGTAGAGGACCAGGTCTTGGCTGTTACATTTCCAATTAGAGTAAATTGTTTACCTAGATCTTGGAATAATACATAACATTTTATTTTGCTTGTTTTTGTTACATTTTCAACCTTGCCACAATCTAGAAACTGGTAAAAAATGCATAGAACTTGGTCAGACATCTTTGTTGAATGTGCTACAGATATGATTCAACAAGACGGGGGGGGGGGGGGGGGGAATATGTTTCACTGTAACTCCATATATCCCCCCACCCCCCCCCCCCCCGGTCTTCTTGTTGAATCATATCTCTAGCACATTCAACAGAGATGTCTGTGGAAGGGCCTGTGGAAGAGAGACAAAATATGTATATCATAATACTGACTTATCAGCATCACTATCACCACGGAGCCCCAGGTGGGGCAATGGGTTAAACCCTTTTGCCACCAGGACTGTCGACTGACAGATCAGTGGTTTGAATCTGGGGAGAGTGGGTTGAGCCCTCTGTCAGCTCCAGCTCCCCATGCTGGGACATGACAGAAACTTCCCACAAGGATGGTAAAAACATCAAACATCCGTGTGTCCCCTGGGCAATGTCCTTGCAGATGGCCAGTTTTCTCACATCAGAAGCGACTTGCAGTTTCTCAAGTTGCTCCTGACATGTAAGAAAAATCATCACCACAACCATTCACATGAGATTATTATGAGAACAATGATGATGTTTTGTTTTAAAAGATAAAACTCTTGCCTTACTGAGGAAAATGGCTGGCCAAATCTCTGAAGACAGACAGCTGCATATTGAAAATGAACCAAAAAGTAAAGAAATTTGCTAAATATCTAATTGGAAAAGATACATAAACTCATAAAATGCATCTGGTTAAATTTATGAAAAGCTGGAGTTGAGCCAAAAAGAGTACTTCAGGCAATTAGAGAAATTTGAAAGGAAATAAAATATATTACTTGTTAGTAAAATATTTCTAGATTAGGTTGCCAGTACTAAAGCAGATGTGTTAAAAAATCAGTAGAACTAATAGACAAGATACAAGTAATCAGAAATGTCATTCACCTACACAATTTCATGTTTCAACTATTTATCTCTTGCATCCATAACTGTGATTCCCTTATCTGAAAAAAAAAACATTTAAAGATTTAAACTTTTCAATTGTTTGCATTATTTGCATTATTACAAACCCACAAAAATAGTCATTAAAGTTGTCCTTTTAAATTTCAAATAATAAATTGAGGTTATTTTCATAGAGTGATATGAAAAGACACGGTAGCCTGTTCTGGATCCTGGATCATACAAAAACCTCATTTGGAAGACGAAGGCTAAAGAAATGGGTGACACAACCACTCTTGAAATCAAGGTATTTATTATGAACAACTTTATTATCAAATGCATGTTGTTGTTCATTCGTTCAGTCATCTCCGACTCTTCGTGACCTCATGGACCAGCCCACGCCAGAGTTCCCTGTCGGCCATCACCACCCCCAGCTCCTTCAAGGTCAGTCCAGTCACTTCAAGGATGCCATCCATCCATCTTGCCCTTGGTCGGCCCCTCTTCCTTTTACCTTCCACTTTCCCCAGCATAATTGTCTTCTCTAGGCTTTGCTGTCTCCTCATGATGTGGCCAAAGTACTTCAACTTTGAGCTATATCTTTTGTTGGAGAAAAATCTATACGTTTTAGACCAGCTGTGTAATCATCACATATTTTTGTCATATTTTTTTTGTTAATTCCTAGTGTGAAGCAAATAACTGCTTTCTGGATGACCCAGAGAAACAACTGACTACAGTTGGGTTATTCTCAGGCCACCCAAAAATGAACTTCATTTTTAGTGACATGCTTTCTTGACAATACAAGAACTACTTGGCAATATGTGGTAATACAATTTGTTATAAATGGGTGAAAGCATCTGCTGTTTTGAGCTAGAGGGCAGCAATCACTGATAGTTTCCAATTGTTTAATGTTTCAAGACTAAATGTAATACTCTGGAATTTCATGTAAAATACTAACCAGTCAGCATTTCATTTACATTCACATGTGAATCAAAGCTGGAAAAATAATACTGGCTGATACAACTCTTGGTGTGCAGTTTCTTTTACTTGCTTTCCTCCTAATCAGGGTGTATTCAGTAGCTTCCTCTCTTAATTTATCATGATGAATGACTGTGGTAGTCTGTAAATGTAGTTCAGAATAATTTATGATGATAGCTTTTCATTACACATGCATTCTGTTAGATGGCTCATCTTTCTCTGAGAAAGAGAATGTTTTAAACACAAAAGTAATTTTCCTGGGGATTGGGTCAATATAAATAGTTTAGCACTAAGATTTTTGAAGATGAGAGAATGAGATCTTAGAGTCAAACAGTTGCAAGAGACCATAAGGGCTGTCTAGTATAACCCTCTGCCAGGTAGGAATACACAATCAAAGCACATGTGGCCATCTATTGAAGAACCTCTATTGAAGAACCTCCAGAGAAGGCGACTGCACCGCATCTTGAGGACACCATATTCCATTGTCGAACAGTTCTCACCCTGAGGACATTCTTCTCATGTTTACATGGAATAACTTGTCCTGTAGTTTGACTCTATTGCTCTGTGTCTTAGTCTCTGGAATGGCAGAAGAGGGTTTGCTCTTTCCTCAATACAATATCTTTTTAAATATTTAGACATGGCTATTATGTCCCCTTTAAACTTCTGGAATAAGAAACTAATGTATCTTAGATAAGGATTCGGTATGAAATGATCCAGTTGCTGACCCAGTATTTAATTAATTTTACCCATAGTGATCGCTTATTAGATTTTCTGTTGACTGTTATAGTGGTTTTCAGATAGCCAGGCCAAAGTAGAAAATATGGCACAGATAATTATATTGAGTAGAAGTACATCATGATAACCATGTTCTAGAAAATGGATCCTCCATTACCATGGTATCATTAGAATGCAACTTGGGATGATGGTGATTTTGTTAAAGTTTGTTTAAAGATTGAAATGGGTAATGGGGAAAAATGAAAGCTGGCATGTTGCCCATTTGGGTGGATTTTACTTGAATTATAACTATGTCTCTTGGTGCCCATTCACAAAATAAACTTTTCTGGATCTCCAGCATTTATTCAACAATGGAGCCATCCTCTAATCTAGAAGTGGAAATTGTGCAGCCCTTCAGCATCCCTAGCCAACATATAAAGAGTCTCGAGAGCTGTACTTCAGCAGCAAGAACTGGAGAACTGTACACTTATCATTATTGTGACCTTTGTAAAAGTATAGGTATAAGATTAAACACGTACTCACAAAGCAGTACATCTGTACTTTTGTACATGCCAATATACCTGTATCGATGAGATACATATATCTGAATGGATGGATATCTGACTATTTGTATCTTCCTCTCTCTGTGTGTATGTGTGTACACGTATATTTTAGATGTATTCCTTTTCCAGGACCCATTGGTTTTGGTTGTTTTACTGAAAAGCACCAAGTACATTTAATGGTGTTATATAAATAAATGCTGCTGCTACTAGCATTTCTGTAGTAGTAGTAGTAGTAGTAGTAGTAGTAGTAGTAGTAGTAGTAGTAATAATAATAATAATAATAATAAAAATAATAATACTACAGATCGGTATTTGATTTTGAAGAGTGGCAAATCATGCTTTCCTCTGTATAACGCTGTATACAATTTGCAGTTAATATTGTTGTAACCAGTCCTGTTTTGCTGTTGTTTTCAGCTATAAAATCAATTATATTGCACTTCTACTCAATAAGGAAAGTGGTAAATATTTTAACATCTAAGCAACATTTGTAGTACAATTTAGATTTGTATAAAATACGGGTTTTTTAAAACACAGATAATCAAAATACTAGTATAGCTACAAACCCATATTAAAAAGGGAATAATATAATCTAAACTACCACTGTCACATAATATTTACCACACAGTATTTATAACAGATTTTTTAAAAAAGCAAAAAATGTTTAAAATTAGTTTGACATGCCTATCCCATATATAAAAAGAAGAAAATCTACAAGAGGATGTTACATTTCAATATTTCCGGAACAGTGTTTCGAAAATATGTAATCTAGTGAAAAAATAGGTCACTTGATATTGGATGATGTTCTCCTGACCTTCTTTTTTAATATTGAGGATTACAGCAAGTGAACTATATGAATGCTTCTTTTCTGTTGGATTACTGGAGACACAGTAGCATAGCCATATGTGAAAATGATTAAAGTGCAGATTAACCTTCCAAGAGGGAAGTGTCGCATCTGTATTCTGTGTCATTGTATGTTTACACTTATTGGTGCAAGTTGGTATAATATTGAATGCCTAATGTTTTATTCTGGGGGGCCTGAATCGATCAGGCCTAGACAAACCAGGTTCCTGATTGCACAGAAGTAAAACAAAATTGCCGAGGCTTAAAAAAAACCATGTTGATAGAAATAAAAATCAGAAAAGTTTTCATATGTCCCTTGAGCAAAAAAGTAGATGCAGGTAGTATATATCTGGTTTTCATAAATACACAGAATTTCCTTTACATCAGAGTCTACTAGACAAAGACAAGGTGCCAAGTCTTCTCATTCAAGGTCTGAGACAAGGAATTATACCGATAAGTGAAGATTCCATACCCTATTGAGTTTGTGTTGTAGAAGTTATCATGATATTCACAAGGAGGGGGAGACCTTTCCTTTCCTTTCCTGGGGCTGAGAGAGGGAATACTCAGGAAAACAGTATCTCTGGAGAAGCTGCCCTAATCAATCATCATCTGCAGAGATGTTTAGATTTGCCTTAGGAACCTGCTTGCAAAAATTCAAACAGGTATGAAGAGATCTGTTAACTTACCTTTATAGGATCCTAAACAATTTAAGATGTGCGCATGCATCATAGCAATGCTAGTCCACTATGTTTTCATTAGATTTCCAAACCAAACTACTATAATTTCATTTATTGAAACATAATTCTCTGTATGGTAGGGAAGGGCAATCAGCCAACTATTGGATTATTCCATGTGCCAATATACATAGGAGTTCCAAAATATAAAGCCCCTCCACAGGCAGGTCAAGATCTTCTTCTGCCAACAGGCATTTGGGGAAGGATAAGGAGCAGGCTTTGGGGAAGTGGGGAATTCTAGACATGAATCAATCAGGACCAGATAACACCTCCCAACAGATAGCACCTCCCAACAATCAGCCAGGCTTTGAAGCTGCAAGGCCAATAAATGCTCCTCAAGGTGGTCAATTGCAACATTCATACTTGTCTCAAACAGACAAGAGTTCTTTCTCCCACCCTGCACATTCCACAGATATATAAACCTTACTTGCCTAGATACCAACAGACCTCACCTCTGAGGATGCCTGCCATAGGTGTGGGTGAAATGTCAGGAGATAATGCTTCTGGAACATGGCCATACAGCCCTGAAAACTCACAGCAGCCCAGTTTTAACACACTGTTACTGTCTGTTTTTTAAAAAACTTTTGTATTATTCTTGTCTAGTGTGGGATTGTTAGCTGCCACAGGGAGAAGGGCAGGGTATAAATAAAGTTAATAATATTATTAGTCTTCTCCATCAGGAAAAGAAAAAAAGCAAGCTTCATAAGAGATACTGAGAGATTTATTATAATTGCCTGTTGTCAAGCACATCATTGCCGCAGATATGATATTAAATGAAAGTCCTCAGGTGGCTGCAGATTAACATACCTCTGAGAATAGCAAAGACAAAGCCTTTAAAAGAGTATTTATTACAACTAGTTATAGCAGTCCAGATGATTCTTTTCCATTGGCTTTTTTAAGGAATTATTGCATTCATCGAGCCTGTACTCAGCTATAACTTTTATCTCAGCCATATTGTTTTACAATGATGTCTATGTTTTGTTTTTATTTGATTGATTTTAATTGTGTCTCTGTTTTTATTTGTAATTTTTGGGCTTGTCCCTTTGTAAGCCGTCCTGAGTCCCCTAGAGGAGATGATGGCAGGGTATAAAAATAAAGTTATCGTTATTATTTTGAAATGTGGCGCAAAGTAAAAGAAATCAGAGTTACCTTCTCAGAGAGGATCAGGAACAAAACAAAAAAGGGAAACATCAACTGTTGTTTGGAGCCTCCATGTTGGAATTGAATGTTTGACAGTGGGGAGGTGGGGTGGGTTGAGTTGTGAGGTGTATTAAAGCAACAAGAAAAAGATACTGAAATGCTAGCATGAGGCTTGATTGACAGCTTAGCGGTAACCAAGGAAATGAGGTGCAGTCAAACAGAAGGAGCAGGGCAGCAGTAAAACAGAGAGAATCAGTCCTTTCCCCCGATTTGCCTAAGGCAGTTACTGTTAGATATAATCGGGGACTAGTAGGTATAACTTTGTATGTTCAGCATCACACCTCAGCTCAGTAAATGAAACCACAATGAATGTACAAGATCTAATAAGGGGATTTAATAACATGATGACTTCAGGTTTTCACACCAAATCTAGAATTCAAGGGAAGTCTAATGAATTTCAATTTAATGAATTGATATAATCAAATTAGTATAAAAGGATTAAATCCAGTGAATTCGTTATCTAATGGTTTTAGCCAATAAATTGTAAGCAATAATTCTAGGAGTGGCTAGGAAGAACAGAATGTGGTAAAGAAATCTAATCAAACAAATGTGACAAGTAGAGAGGAGAAAATGAAGTTGGGAACATCAGGGAGAAAATGAACTTCCAAACCTAAGCATTTGGAAAAAAGTGAGACAGTTTCCGATTCAGAGGCAGACCGTAAGTTGGAAATGCCTAAAGGGAAAATAAGAGGGTTTGAGTGAAAATGAGGACTCTACAGAGAGTAATTTGGGAAGAGAAATAACATCTGTTACTTGAAGTGGAACATTTTAAGCATATGTTTAAAAATACTTTTTACAAATATTGAATGTAGTGGATGGACAGGTGGAGTTGTAGCTTGACAAAGGAAAGGTAACAAGAATAGTAAAGCTGCAACAGCCGTTGGGGAGGAAGAATGGCAAAAGTGTTGAGATTCCTTTGACAGGCATGTTCAGAGAGTTGATTGACTTGTAATGGGAATCTCCATTGAGTTTAAGGGGCTTTCAGATTATTGCTGGAAGAACAAAAACATGGAGTATCTTAAAGTCCCATTGCTGTATGATTCAATCTCTGCCTTATGGAATAAAACACAGCACTTAGGGGTATGGGCAAATGAGAATGGAGGCAGCAATTAAAAAGGGTACATGAGAATCTGTGCTAGTAATTCATTTGTCCACTGCTGTTTCTGTATTGTGGACCCAGGAAATTTTAAATGCCCAGGACATTAGTATGCAAACTCCAAATAAAGCAGTGCAGAGAATTCAGAAGGTTCTCCTATTCATAGTTTATGCAGAGCATGTTAAAAAGGATTGTTATAGTAATTGGTTTACTCAAGAAATTATTCATGGATGCAACATTGTGTTTGTTCAAAAAGCAAATACCTTCTCTTACCAATATCGAAGAATAAAGCAAAGCAATAAATACTTAGAATTGAAAAAAATATAGTAGTACTAAAGGAAATAGACCATCTTCTGCAGATTGATGGTATAGCGGAGGTACCTTGCTCCAAACAATTGAAGGTATATATTCAATCTTGTGTGTATATGACTCCACAGTTTGCAAAAACAAAACACAAACACGTCATGCATGGAAAAGAGAGTGAGTCAATCACCTTCCTGACTGCTTCTTAGCTAAATGAAAATCAAAAGCAAGATAACCTCGAAACAACAAACTTGTGGGATAAACTATGAGAAAATGTTGAAAAGAATATGTGTTACTACTAGTGATAGCTATTCTGAAAGTTCTCAGATCCCTTTAGAAGTTCAACATTGCAAACAGAAAGAATAGGGGGGAAAAAAACAGACCAAGCGGCAGCCAAACTTCAGAAGAGAAATAAGAGTAAAATTGGTTGAAAAAAATAGTTATCTACCCAGAGAGAGATTGTCAAATGCTATTTCAGGCCATCATGTTCCATAGTAGGAGGTGGAGCTCATTCACACTGTGTTGCTAAGCAGCAGAAACAGCTGGAAGAAGCAAGTTGCAGGCATGTGTTTTAAAGGACAAATAAGTAGCAGGGCAGCAAAGTGTGCTGAATAATGGTAACCTCAGAAAAAGCATCTAAGTGGGTGGGGGGGGGGGGGTCACTCCACAAGAAGTGATAGTAGTAACTCTAGATACCAGACTCTCTGGTCCAGAAGTACATGGACAAAGGGAATGTATTGGTATGGATTTGCAATGCAAATTTGAATGCAGTCCAGCTCACACCTTAAGCATTTATATAGTTCGTGAAAAAACCAAAATGTGCAGATTGTAACAGATTTGTTAATAAGAGAGTAAACCAGATTCTTCGGTGGGCAGAAAAGACACCAAGCTTCATTATAGTAGTCTGTATAAAGTGGTCTTGGACCTAAAGGCTATAATTAATATAATTTAAGCAGGCATAGAATCTGAATGGAGAATGGTCTCAAAATTTGGAGGTTTTCAACTATCTGAACAACATTTGGCCATTTCAAAAATATTTTTTTTTTGCCCCTGGAGCAGATTTCAAATTGAAAACAATGTTTTTTTCACAATGCACTTTAAATAACATGGCTCCCAGGAGAATTGTGGGTCACAGTACCAGTAATAGAAATAGTATTTACCAAAATGTGCAGAGCTGGACACAGTGGTATTGAGGGCATGTTACCGGCTAAGAATCTGTTAGTTTGCATATCTATAAAGTATAATTTTCAACAAAAGGGTTCTATTCTACATCATGATCCAAATTGGTTGAGATTGATCACATGGTCATTGGGAGGCAGCATTGAAATAAGGAAGGATATACGGATTCAGGGATTCAGTAGGCCACATGTTGTGCAAAACTGACCTAAGGGGAAAATTACTGCCAATCCTCCCATTGTCTGTAGTACTCACTACCCATTTCCAAGAGTTCCCCAACCTCAGGAATAGATTTTCAGGATACCTGGAATACTGCAGATGGAAGGAGAAAAGAGAAAGGACTTGTTTCGTAATAATAAACTCTGTAGCATTACAAAAGAAAAGTCTTAGAATCCAAAGCAATGTTCTTATAAAATTGTATTGACGTTCTTGAAAGTATGTTTTGTCACTAAAGGCGGTGTTCCTTTGACACATTTAACGTTCTGATTTATATTGCTATTTGTTAACCTCAGTTTGTAGCTCTGGAAATTTTGGGTCACAAAATAAATGTTTGTGACATGTTATACAAATATGTCGATATTTTTAAAAGAGGGCTTAAATGGTGTGTTTGTCAGTTTAGAAAGCTGAAGCCATTCAGGGATATAACTTTAATCTAACTGCATTTAATGTTGCTTTCTAAATCAATAGGAAGGAATTTGAGAGATTGTGCATCATAGAAAAGCTTATATCCACAGCTAGTGAAGCAAATAAGCCAAACCTTTCCATAATTTTTTTGCAGTATATTTGCTTGTTTAAGTGGCCTTAAATCCTTTCCTCAAACTATAATGAAGCACTGCATTACATCTATAAGGATGATAAACTTTTTCAAGAGATGAGTAACTCTTTGGCTTTTTGCATAAAAGGAACAATGTTTTGCAGAAATGTTGGCACTCATCCTATATTATTGTTTAATAGAGAAGAAAACTGACTCTCCTTCAGGGCCAGAAGTATGAAAGATGTAGCACTTTGTATGTTGCTGTTTTGATTCAGCTCTGGCGATCATGGCAGGTGGAGTTGCAATCCACAACACTTGGAGGTTCAAAATGTGACCTTCCCTTCTCTGTACCGGTCCATAAAATATATAAAACACAAGAGAGCGTGGTATGAGAATCATACTGAGTTCACTCTATTCCTTGTACCTTGTATGGATTGTTTTCTGATCTTTTAAGAATATCTTCGCCATGTTTTTCAGTATTTAAGCATGTCACTCCTGTTTTAAGTAATCTTGACTTCTTTTTGTCTCCATATCTCACTAAGTATTTGGCAAAGTATTAGTTTCCTATTGTCCTGTAAAGAACACTGAAAATTCATTTAGAAACATTTTTTACAGTAAAATTAATTCCCGACTTGATGCGGTATCTGAGGTCCTCATGTCTGAATCAAGTGTCCTTAATCAAATCAAGGCTCTTCTGCACAAAATGCCAGATGTTGAGAGAGGAATCTGCAGCATTTATCACAAAAAGGTAAATAAAATTATTATTAATGTCATGTTCCATATTCAGCATATGAGCTTTGTAGTGGAAAACCATATTGTAATTTACTATAGTTGGCTTTATCAATTGAAAACATCTTAGACAAAGACAAAACAGCTTTCTTTGGGTCTCTTCAGGGCAAGGTACATTCAAATCAATGTATCAGCTTCAAACAAAGTATAATATTCTTGATGACCTAATTTATTCAAATGGCACTATTTGATTAAATCACAGGTACACATGTTCCCTGTGTAGGATGGATATGTTGCAGTGAATGTTCAGAATTAGGGAAATTGTTAAGGAGGCTTTGTTTTAGAAATGTTAACCTTGACATTATTATTGATTCTATTTTCAGTGTTCCACTCAAGAGTTCTTTCTAATAGTTAGCACACTCTCTCAATTAGAAGCTTCAATCACAGCACTGGCTCCAGCTATAGAAGCTCAGGTGCAAGCAACATTATTGCGTAAGAATCTCTTGGAAATTCCTGATTTGCTTTCTTCAGTGAAAAAATATTTAAGCATACTTAATGAAGAAGCAGCAAAGTAAGTAAACTGAGTTTGTGATTACTTATTTGCTATTATATAAGAATGGTGTAGCATACATTCCTTGTTAGATAGTAGATTTCACTAGGTTTTTGCAATCCCCTCTCCACTCAGTGTTATTCCCAAAAGTGACACTGTTATTGACAACCCCTTGCCATTTTACTGTTTTCAGGGAAACAGCAGTAGAGTGTCAATATAAGGGAGAGGAGTTTTCCTCTCAACCCATTAACTTTAAATGCCATTGACTTGGTATATGGGATGAGAAGACAAGGTCAAAGTAAAGAGAGTACAAGGAACAGTCATGAGATTTAAAGAAAAAGGATACATTAAAGCTGTTTGAATTCAGTTGCAAGGAGATCTAATGAGCTGAACCTTTTCATCTGTGTGCTTTAAAGATAATGCAAAACAAATGCTTTCCTGCCTAACCTATGTGTTTTAATACAAATTAAAATATACCAAACATACACAAACAAAAGTTCTAACATTATAATAATACATGAAGAAAAATACAGCTTCAAAGGAAAAAAACAAAGCAAACATATTTCGTAATATTTATATAAAATGACTTCAAGTCATTTTTGCGATTGTATATGTGTGTGTGTGTGTATGCGCTCTATAGCCCTGCCTCTGTCTAAAAATTAAATGTTGTATTTCTTTTAATAATGAACTCATAGAATGAAAACAAGAATGGATTCTGCTCCATTTCACACAGCAATATCAGTTTTTGTCAAAAACTACATGCTTGTCTAGGACAAGTAGGTGTTGATCTGCAGGGACAACATGATCGTCAAAGCTCACATAGAAGAGGAGAAACATGATTGCATACTCTGATGCACAAGGCATCTTGTGTGAGGCAATGGTTTGATTGGAGGAGACTGATTGATTGAAGGAGACTTTCAATCAATCGATCGATCAATCAGTCAATCAATCAATCGGGAGGATATCTGAAGAGTCAGCCAAAACTGTCAGGCCAACTGACTAAGCAGACAGAGCCTAGCTCAGGGCGATTGAGGCCTGAATTCCCTAGTATTTCAAATGATAGGGAATAGGTTTGGCACTCGCCTCACAGTAGATTCACAAACTGCTTTGTCTTATATTCATATTTTGGATGGGGGCACATTGATTTTGATGGTAAGTTGGCCCAGGGTGATTTGCTGTGCATTTCCTCCAGTGGTGATGTTGTCCAAGCTGTTAAGGAAAATCATGGCTGAAACATGATATTTATAAAATGCAAACTTTGAGACTTATGAATTAGTAGTGAAGTGTGATTACATTATTTTTAAAGGAAGTAGACTAATAAGGGATAATAACCATCAAATAATGAGATGTTTGTTATTTTTAAATAATTGTTTAGTTGTAGTGTTTAGTTGTATAGTTTTGGTAGTTTTAAATACATATAAAATGTCTGTTTGTACGTTTAATTTTGTTTTCTTGAATAAAAATTATATTTAAAAAATATTTGTAAAGTTTGATTGTAATACCTTAAAACAAGATACAACATTTCTGTTTAACTTGGTTTAGTTATACACTTAAGAATGGGTTACTAGGTTCTTGTGGGTTTTTTCGGGCTATAGAGCCATGTTCTAGAGGCATTTCTCCTGACGTTTCACCTGCATCTATGGCAAGCATCCTCAGAGGTATGAGGTCTGTTGGAATTAGGACAATGGGTTTATATATCTGTGGAATGGCTGTGGTGGGGCAAGGAGCTCTTCCCTGCTGCAGTTAGGTGTGAATGTTTAGCTGATCACCTTCATTAGCATTTGAAGGTCTGCCTGAGCCTGGGAAAATCTGTTCCTGGGAGGTGTTAATCTATGCCTGGTTTTTTCCTCTCTGTTGTTTAGCTGTTATAATTTTAGAATGGGTTGTTTGAAATTACAGTATTATGTTAAATTTGAATGTTTATGGATTTTAAAAGTCTGTATATGCTAAAATTGTAATCATATTGCTTTATGTTCAGTATTATTGGTATCAGTATTATGAAGCATACAACAGATAACATGCATACTTAAAATTTGCAAAATAAAGAAGTTAAAACCAGTTTAAATGGAATGGCCCTGGATTCTGTTTTGGATGATGTGATTTTAATTGATGTTTTAAATAAGTTATGTTTTAATTGTTTGGTTTCAAATTATAGTTGATACATGAATGTTTGGCATTGAATTGCTGCATGTTTTAAGGCCGCCCTGAGTCTCTCCGGGTTGAGAAAGGTGGGATACAAATATAGTAAATAAATTTAAAACATAATTGATATGTTTCATATACTTTTGTATTTACTAGTCGTTGTAAGTATATTTTTAATTGTAAGTAGAACTTTTAAAATTGTGTTTTCTGTAATTAGATCTGGAGACAAAACCAAACTGTTCAAGGATCTTCAAGATTTTCCTTTAATAAGGACAAGGAAGGATGAGATTCAGGCAGTACTCTCTCAAATCCAGACACATCTTCAGGATATACGAAAAATACTGAAATGTTCCTTTGCTGGTTATGTAACAGTATCAGGACAAGAGGTAACATAATTATTAGCCTCAATATTTTATTATTTTTGGGTCTGCCAGTATTTATAAATTTTTATCAAACATTTAATTCTACTTTCCCCATAGTTTATAGTATTTTGCTTTTAATCATCATAAACATATATGCAATAAACCACTTCTGTCTAAATATCTATCCATGAAAACATGTTTGTTAAATACTGTACTAGTGTAAGGAGTCAATGTTAAGAGAAAAACAGCTTGGGCTGATTTTCAACTGCATCTTAAAAATGGTTGTCTAGAAGTTAAAGGAGGATAAAAAAACATTAAAATATCAAACACCCAAGAAACAGTATGAATAGCTATGTGCCAGTGCTTATCAAGGATTTTTAAATAATATTCTAAGGCTTATCTAATGAATAAGTCTAATACACAATACATATATTTGTGTACTATGTTACCTTGTTAATTTTTTGTTATTTAATTAAAAATGGAAGAAGTTAATTGATTCACCAACTTTCTGTCTTTTAAAACCTATTCTTGGATGCAAAACGCCACAGTCCAAGCTTGTCTGCTCTTTGGTTACCCTTGAAAAAGGCTTTAACAATAGAAGATAATCTCTTTATAGAGAACTGTATTTAATATCTTGGATTTAGAATGATAGTAATACAGTGATGTTTTGAAGTTAATGGAATCATACTGCTTACATGTGGACACTTCACTGAGATTTTCAGAAAATAAGTGTGGGGTTTATAATTGAGATACTTGGAAAATCAGTAAAGCAAATTATTATGGTAATTTAAAATTGTCAATAATTTAAGCATTTACTAACACTAAAATCATATTTTTTAGTCAAACTGACTTTAAAAAACAGACGAGAACATACATTTTTATTATATTTACTTTCCAATTAAACACTCCAGCAGAGCAAGCAATAGTCTTAGAGGAAGGCCTCTTCTGAACAATCTTGCAAAATAAATAAATAAATGGTAAATTCACCTTAGGGCTACCAGAAGTCAGAAATAATTTGAAAACACAACAACCATAATAGCAGAAAGGACAAACAATAGTGAAGATTACCATCTTTGCTAACAAAAGACTCAAAAGATCACACAAAGTTGTAATTTTCTTCTATCTACATCACATCTATATGGTACCAAGATAATTTTTAATACATTTACCTTGTAGAAGCATTATTTTGTACTATATAACCTACCAGGTATTCATGAATTACCTGCCAGATATTCATGATGAATAATTATTGCCATTTTCAATTTTGAAGTTGAATATTCATTTATATTTGTATCCTCTTTTCTTTATAAAGAACCTGGGTTTGGAATACTAATAAAATTGTAATTATAAGTCCACAGGGGGAAAAATATCAAAAATTCAGCAACTGAACATTTGTCATACTTGTCTGTCTCCTGGAAGTTTACACCCAGATGTGAATGGGGAGGGGAATGGTTGCATTTCCATTGGGAAGGCATTCCTGAGCCAGGGTGCCACCACATAGAACAGAGACTGTAAGAGTAGGCAAAAAGAGCTGTTTTAGCTTTTAATCTTGTTGTAAGCTGCCTTGGGTCGTGTCATTAAAAAGATACAGTACACATTAAATAATAAACAAAATAGCTTACTTTCAGATAAGTTTTGATTTGATCTGAAAATTGATTTCATTTGCTCTTTTATTTGCTCTTTTTATTGTGTTTATTGCTGTTATTGTGTTTGAAGTTGGTCTCGGCAGTGTTTTGTCATAAGCTCCTTTGAGGTAAAAACACTTTTTAAAACCCAGCTTCCATAGCATCTCCTACACTGCAAAAATCACTACTGATACACATACAGGAATGTGGCATTCTGTCCATTCCCCCTCTTCTTGGACAGAAGTCATAACTCAGTAGTAAAGCATTTGTTCTGCATGCATTGGAATCCAGTTTCAGTGCTTGTCATCTCTGTAGCACTGGAAAAATTCTGAAACTATGGGGAACTGATGGTCCACCATGGCAGATGTTGGACCTCTAGGTCTGTGATTATCTGATGGGGTACCTATATCTGAAGAAGTAGATTCTGGCTTATCAAAACATATTACACAGTGCCTTTGTTAACCCTTTGGATGTTGTAACTGTCTCATATTTATTTAATATTTTAGTTTCAGGTTGAAGTTAAGAATTCACTTGTGTTTTCTGTACCATCTGACTGGATTCAAGTTAGCAGGTATGGAGAAAAAATTCTTAATCTCTCCCCCCCCCCCCCAACCCCAACTGCATGTTAATGTGATTACAAGCTGATTTTAGACTTCAAGTTTAAAATGGCAAGTAAGGGTGCACTGGTGTTGAAGTGTATGTATATAAATTCTCGGGCAGTCTCAGTTGCTGCTTAATGTCTCACAATATTTGTTCAAAGATAGTCATCAAAAATATGCCTATTTGGATAGCTTGATTCTCATTATTTTAGTGAGTGCATCTTTCAACTTTGATGCATCTTTTATTTTATTTTTTTACATCGTTCTTCATAATATAATCAGAGAAAAAACTTTTTTTTAGTCTAAATTTAATTAGGTTGGACAAACCGATTAGCATTCTCCTTCCATCTTCCTTTTATTTAGGCTGAGAGGAGACATGATGAGGGCCATGTATAAATATGTGAGAGGAAGTTGTAAAGATCCCTTACCTTGCCAGCCAGGGTGGCAGGGCCCAGGAAGAGACAGGCTAGGTAGTTTCAGTTAGAGGGCCTGGCAGAGAGCTGCTGGAGCCATCTTAGTTTAGGGAAAAGCTCCAGTTCAGAGAGGGGGAGTGGCCGAGGCCTGTGCCAGCCCAGCAACAGCCAGGATTGGTTTAGAAAGAGGGGCGGAGTTAGCCAGATGGAGGGAAAGAGAAGAGATAATTTTGACAGTTCAGTTTTAGTTCAGCTGAGTTCTGAGTAGAGTAAAGAGCAGTTTTAGTTCTGAGAGAGAGATTAGAGTAGGAGTTGGATTGTTTAGGAGTTTCTGTTTAGAATAGGCAGCTTGCCTGTAGTTTGCACAGCACAGTAGGCTGTGGCAGACTGAGTTACAGCTATTTTGAGAGAGAAAATAGCTGGGTTTTGGTGTTTAAGAAACTGTAACAAAGGAAAGAACATTCTCTCAAGAAACCATTACGCTTATAAGTACCAAGAACACTTTTTATTGTAACCATCAAGCCTCTGAACCTGCATTCTCGTGTTATTCTGTAATTTATAATCAATAAACTCTTTCTTGTTATTTTTAAACTTAAAGCCTGAGTCAAGTGCCATTTTTGGTTTTGAATCCTTTTCCTTTTTGAATCAACCTCTCCTGTTTTCCCCTCAGAGAAAGCCCTTGTTAATACACAGTTATTGGTGGAGCAAAAAGCCTTCTAATAATTTAATCAGCCTTTTAACATTTTAAAAAATAGCTAGAGGGTTCGTGATTTCTTTAGTTTGGTGGCAGCGAAGGTTTTACACAACGTGACATCCCCTCAAACACTATTAGAGCCAAAGTGGGGTGAATTCCTTATTGAAGGAAGGGACAGTGGTGGGATTCTTTTGACCCCCTGTCCAGACGGCCTTTTTTGAGTTATTATAGAAGTCATAGGGAGGAGGGAAGAGGCTTGTTTTCCACTGCCCTGGAAACTAGGTCGCGGAACAATGGCTTCAAAATACAGGAAAAGAGATTCCACCTGAACATGAGGAAGAACTTCCTGACTGTGAGAGCTGTTCAGCAGTGGAACTCTCTGCCCCAGAGTGTGGTGGAGGCGCCTTCTCTGGAGGCTTTTAAACAGAGGCTGGATGGCCATCTGTTGGAGGTGATTTGAATCGATTTTCCTGCTTCTTGGCAGGGGGTTGGACTAGATGGCCCAGGAGGTCTCTTCCAACTCTATGATTCTATGGTTTATTATTTAAACACTTAGTTACTTAAAAAGAAGTTTTGTCAACATTTGCACAAAAGTCCCGTTGATTTCTATGGGATTTAGTTCTAGAATGACTGCTTTAGCATGCACTATGTTCTCACAATTATTGTTTTGATGACTAGTTGTTAGAAAATATGCTTCAATGATTATACACCGAAGTAGCATTCTTATTTGATTTTTATTCGTTTATATCTTGCATTTGCCTAATAGTGGAGCTCAAAGCTGTTTACAAGTCATTATAACATTAAAGATTAAAACTCATAAATGAATATGTTATTTTAAACAATTAAATAGTTTATAAAGTTAAAATCTGCCCCCTCTCTCCTGACCTTCCGAAAGAAACTTAAATTCTCTTATGGAAGCAAACATTTGCAGAATAGACTGATTTTACTGGCAAAGATGACTGCAATTTGGAAATGATTTAGATTACATTTTTAACCTGATGAACTGTTTTAATGTATATTTATAACCATTTTTATGTATTTGACTGTATTTCATTATATGTTTTATATTGTGTCGGCATCGAATTGTTGCCTATTGGAAGCCATCCTGAGTCCCTCCTCGGAGGTCGAGAAGGACGGGGTATTAATGTTCTAAATAAATAAATAAAACCACATAAAAAGCAACAATATAAAATTCTGTAAATAATATAAATAATATATTATAATAATATAATAATATAAATAATATAAATACTGAAAATAATAAATAAATAAACAAGACAGCACAGCACACTATTAAAAGCACACCAGTCAATTCCTGAAAGTCTGATGGAATAAGAATACTTTTACTTGTTGAGGAAGGAATGCAGAGAGGAAGCCATTCTAGCCTCCTTAGGAAGAGAGTTCCAAACTTAGGAAGCAAAAAAAAAAAAAGGATACATATAGGACTTTTTAAAGTCATTGGCAACACCTTGAACTTTTTTTTTAAAGAGTAGCAGTTGGTGGAGTTGTAACAAGGCAGTTCTGCTTTCTTGCCTAGTTAATCTAGTTGTAGATCTTCAAACCAGCTGAAGTTTCAGAGCACTTTTCAAAGGCAGCTCACATAGAGCATATTGCAGTAATCCAAATGGGATGTAACCAAAGCATGGCTGAATCTTTAGGAATTGATAAAGATGTCGTACCAGCAAATGCACTCTTAGTTGCCACTGAAACCTTGGCCTCTAGGCTCAGTACTACATCCAGGAGTTCCCCCTGCGTCTTTAAGAGAATGTAACTGCCTACCATAGAGTAAATCCCTGTTCCCAAATCTGTCTTTCAACAGATACGTTGTCATCAATTATATGATTTAAAAAAGACGAGAAGAGGGGATTTGCTTCAAAAAATCAGATCTGGAAACTATATTAGACAAAGGCGAAAAAGGCTTAATAGCCAGACTATACAAATATATCCTACACTACAGCTTGGAAGATAATCGTGTTAAAACCTCCATGATATCATGGGCAAAAGATCTAGTGAGAAGCATAGATTTTGACATCATGGGAAAACCTGTGGACAAAGGCAGTGGCATCCTCAATTAGAGACAATGTATATACAATGTTCTACAGATGTTACACAACCCCAGCGAAAATGGACAGCTCACAATCGGGTTCCTGTTGGAGGTGCAAAACAAAGAAAGGGACTTTTTTCATGTATGGTGGTCTTGTGAACTGGTGCAGGTCTATTGGAAAAAAATAATAAAGGAAACAAATAAAATGATCCACAACAAAGTAAAAAAAATCCAGGGATGTGCCTATTAGGAATATTCAGAGATAGATTAGAACAACCAAAAAGAGAAATTTGTCTGTAAAGCTTTGCAGCTGCACGCATTACAGTTGGCAAAGATTGGAAAAGGGGAGAAAATATTAAGCATCAAAAACTGGAAGGATAAACTGTGGGATTATGCACAAATGGCTAAGATTTCTAGCAATTTGAAATATGAAAATCATGAAATATTTGAAAGAAACTGGAAGCTGGCCTTAGCATTCTTGACAGGAGAGTTAAAGAAATAAAAACAAGAGGATTTTATTGAACTAGAAGTATAGCGGGTTAAACAAGATGTGCATAAACTCTGTGGGGATCAGTGGCAGAAGCCAAGGTGGTGGGTAGCACTGGAGGTGGGTTGAGGGGTAACTGTACTGTGGGCGGTGGGTTGTCTGTGTATGTGTATATGTCTGCAATGTATATGGTCGGTGTATTACCTTTTAAAAATTAAATTAATTAAAAAAAACCCAGATACGTTGTCATAGACTTTTTTGTGTAGCTATTAAAACAATGCTGTTGAAGTGGATTAGGACTATGGCTTTCCCCGTGTGTTCGGCTAGTACTTTTTACAATAAGAGTCTCCTGTACTCTACAGTGGGATGACAATTCTTTAAAGTTGTCTTTTTATTCTTCCATAATCTCCACCGTATTGAGTCAAGAGGCTCAATTTGACTCCTGGAAGTCAGCCCTGATGAGAGCACACTTTCCTCATTATAATTACAGTTTATAGTGATTTGCAATGAAAGAATAATGGGATATTAACTTCAAATTGCTACCATATAATCATGTAAAGGGAAACTTTTTTTCACACATTGTCAGTTTCTTTTGATACTGAAAGATTTTAATAATGACCTTGAGTACTATATCCCCCCCCCCTTTTCATGGTATTTATCTAGAAATAATCTCTCAGTTCGCACTGCTTTGAAACATCTCATAATAGTTTTCCAAAAATATCATTCTGTAATAACTGAATATGTAACATAGGTATCCCAAATCTTTGATGATTGCATTTCATGTATATCTCATATAATGTTTCCCATGAATGATATGGTCTGTCAGGCAGCACATACTTTCCAAATAGCAGTAAATCGTTTTCTGAAGACCTGAGTTGGAATCTAAACTCTATTATTCTTTTGAACTAAGCTCTATTACTCTTTTGAACTCATCATTTTATACTCCTGTATCCAATTCACAGAAGGCAAACAGGCATGGGTCCCATCTACTCAGCCATATAAAATAAGTTTAACTGCATTATATGATTCTACACTTACCATATAATTCAGTTTCAGACTGTATTATATGGCAGTATAGACGGGGCCATGGTTTGAGGAGCAAGTAATTTGGCCAAGAAACTTATTATAAGGCAGGGATGGAGAGTGAAACCTAAATATCAGATGACATATTTGATCCAACAAATCACAGCAAAACATCCATTCCACAGAATACAAACTGGTAACATGCAAATAAACCTATCAGCAAAATTTCCTGCATATAACACCATCACTTCCCACTACACATATAAAATGTAGCCAAAATATACCACTGGGGCGGTGTAGCTGGAGCCACGTCTCTCTTGCTAATCTTCGAGCAGCACAATTAGAGAGGAATACTGACAACAGACTTACCACTCATGCACACAAAAAACAACCCTAAAGCGAAAAACAGAACAAATTTTAAACAGTCACATTTCACCATACTCTTATAGAAAGTCATCTTATTCAGATTTTACTAATTCTAACTTGCATGTCTCCACTGTGATTTCTTGAAGGTAAAAATTATTTGTTGTTTAGCAAAATATTTAAAGCTGAACATTTGACTTTACACAGTTTATTATGAAAAATATTTTTAACTAGCCGCCCCCTGCCACTCATTGCTGTGTCCCAGTCTGGTGATCTGGAAAATAAAGTAATAAGAAAGTGTTGGTTTCTAATATATGTAATTTCTTTATGCTTGTGGGTAAACAGTATTTCCTGCTGTTTCTTTGTCAGTGTTGATGTAGAGATTGTATGGTTTGCCTACTCTGGAACATGCAACATATAATTGTCCTTCTTTAGGGGTCCCTTTCAAATCTATGATACTATATCTGTGTGTGTGTGTGTGTGTGTGAATCATTTATATCTATCTATATCTATGGCTGGATGGTTCTTTGTCAGGAGGGCTTTGATTACGTTTTCTTGCCCTGGTAAAGGGAGTTGGATTGGATGGCCTTAAGTATTTTCTGTTGGTCATGGGGGTTCTGTGTGGGAAGTTTGCCTCAATTTTGTTGTTAGTGGGGTTCAGAATGCTCTTTGATTGTAGATGAATTATAAATCCAGTAACTACATCTCCCAAATGTCAAGGTCTGTTTCCTCCAAACTCCATCTGTGTTCATATTTGGGCCTAAGGAATATTCGTGCCAAGTTTGGTCCAGATCCACCATTATTTGAGTCCACAGTGCTCTCTGGATGGAGGTGAACTACAACTCCCAAACTCAAGGTCAATGCCTACTTCTAGTGTTTTCTGTTGGTCATGAGAGTCCTGTGTGCCACATTTGGTTCAGTTCCATCATTGGTGGAGTTCAGAATGCCCTTTGCTTGTAGGTTAACTATACATCCCAGCAACTACAACTTCCAAATGGCAAAATCAATTTTTTGAGTGATGGTCACTTCTTGGGTTAGTAGGTGTCTTGTGGCCAAATTTGGCGGCAATTCATCCAGCGGTTTTTGAGTTATGTTAATCCCAAAAACAAACATTACATTTTATTTATATAGATGTTTTCTATGTGGAGTGCTTCTCGGGAGCCACATGCCTTTGCTCACCATAAAAACTAATAAAACTGGCAGTTAAGTAACATAGCCAAAGTAACTTTCCTTTTAAAATTTAAATTTAAGGAACACAGGGGATTTCGTCTGATTTGACCTGCCTTATTCTCTCTAATGTGTCCTTGCCCCATTAAAATGTGTTCTGCATTTTCTTCTTGTCTAGCCTGCGGTACAAATACAATGTTTACCATAAGTAAAACAAGTAGTGAGCAGATAAGAGCATTGATTACTTTATCAAGATTGGTCCCACTTCAAATAATAATTCGCATAATATTTTTTTCTGCATGAGATTTCCACTGTGTAGGCAACATTTATTTATTTATTTATAACATTTATTCCACCTTTCTCCAGGACTGACCCAAGGCGGCTCACATCATATTTAAAAACATACATACAAATAATTAAAAACTGTAACCAAACAAGTAATAGAGATTCAACAGTCCCCAAAAACCTTCTGTATTATTACACATTCAAAGTTAAAATCAGTCTAAAATTCCCTGTATCTGTAAGTGCCTGGCTTCAGTTAAAAGCTGCCTCAAAGAGGAATATAATGTGTGACCATTCCCAGGAAAAACTGCTCATGTGTATACATTACTGCATGAGTGATTGCTTAGTAACCTTCATTTCATATTTGGTTTTCTTTTCTAGCACAAAAGCTGTCAGCCGTTTTCACACTCCTTTTATTGTAGAAAATTACAGGCATCTGAATCAACTACGTGAGCAGCTAGTCCTTGACTGCAATGTAGAGTGGCTACACTTCTTAGAGTAAGTTTAGAAATTGATTTTTTTTTTTGCTGTTGAATTAAGGCTAAAAGTGGATTTCCAAACATAAATCGTATTGGAGAGTTGTGTGGTTTCTGAGCTGTATGGCTGTGTTCTAGCAGCATTTTGCCCTGACATTTCTGTGCATCTGTGGCAGGCATCTTCAGAGGAGCTAACGGTAGTCAAACAAGTGGAGCATATATACCTGTAGAATATCCAGGGTGAAAGGGAAAAAAATCATTGTATGTTAAACTAGTGTGAAGGGTGCAATTAGCAAACTTGGAAATGTTTTTGGCACAGGTGGTATTTTTGCCAATTGGGCCAGGGAAACAGATTTATACAGGACAGGAAGACACTAAAACTGAATGGTGGGCTACATAGATGATGTGTATGACAAATCTGATCAAGAGGGTTTTAAACTAAACTTTTGGAGGGTTGGAGATGACAGCTCAAACAGCCCAAAGGCAAAATCTAAGCACAAGGATGTTTCTTCTAGAGGAGAAGCCGTGGGAAAGAATAAAATCTATAGTGAAACTTAATCTATAGTGCTTCAGATTATGTCTGCCATTTTGATTGAACATTAGAAGGAACCCTTTCACAGTAAGAGATAAATTTCTTGCATTAAGCAGGGCATTGGATTTGATGGCCTATGTAACCCCTTCAAATTCTATGATTCTATCCTTTCTTTTTATATGGTCTAATTTATAACACAATTCACTGCATATCTGGTTGGAAGTCATTCTGAGCTTAATAAAACTTATTGTCAGAGAAATTCTACTGGATTGTGACCTAACTATATTATTTCTCCTCTAATTAGCAATTCCAACTAGTTGTGTAGAAAAACAGTTGTTATTCTGGAATGGATACACTTTATTCATATTCATATTTAATTTATTTATTTCTCTTCTCTATCCCCAATTCTTTGTTTTCATGTATGTAGTGATTTCAGTGATCATTATTATTCAATCTCTAAAGCGGTAGGTCACTTAGCAACCGTGGACTGCATTTTTTCCTTGGCTGAGGTTGCCAAACAAGGAGACTATTGCAGGTAATCATTTTCTAAATTATTGCAGAATAGTAAGATTAGCTTTATTGTTTTAACATCGTACAGAAATAAATATAGTAGAGTCTAGCTTATCCAACCTTCGATCATCCAACATTCTGTATTATCCAACACAGTCTGCCTCCCGCCTGGATCCACAGCTGTTTCAATACACTGCAATGTTTTGGTGCTAAATTTGTAAATATGGTAATTACTCCATAATGTTACCATGTATTGTACTGTTTTTTCTGTTGATTTGTTGTAAAGCATGAGGTTTTGGTGCTTAATGTGTAAAACCATAACTTAATTTGATGTTTAATAGGTTTTTCCTTAATCCCTCCTTATTATCCAACATTTTTGCTTATCCAAGGTTCTGCCAGCCGGTTTATGTTGCATATGTGAGACTCTACTGTACTGGCAAATATATACTTGCTTTGTTTGAAGACAAGAAGAGTTTTTCCATAAGACTGGGTTTTTGATTACTAGGACTGGTGGAGCTACATTTCCTTCAGGATGTAGCCTAGCAAACATCATAACAGAGATCACAGAGGGTATGTGTAGAACTCCTCAGTGGCCATTGCACTTAATGTGCTGTAATATATTTTTCAGACCTGTAATAAAAGATGGAAGATCAGAGATAATGATAAAAAATGGAAAGCATCCAGTGATAGATGTGTTACTGGGAGAGCAAGAGCAATATGTTCCCAATGATACACACATAGTAGTAAGTATGGTATAAATAATTAGAAGTATATGATGTAACAAATTGTTTTAACCTATCTGGTTTTTTTTTAGTTTTCTGATGGCAATCTTAAATTACCTGTTGAAAAATGTAGGAAATGACTTTATAAAGGATTTTTAGATTATTACTTCAGATTAACTTACAATTTTTGAATATTTCTGCTTAGTAAATACTGCTAAGAAGCTCATACATATAGTACATTTCCACTATTCTTATATATAGGTGGAGCTATCTATCTGCATAGGCTCTCTTTGTCTGTCTGTCTGTCTGTCTGTCTGTCTCTCTCGCTCTCTCATAGACTCAGATCTAAGGACAAGAGTCTGCTCAATTCTTCTAATTATATCCCCTTCTTGAGAAATTTAAATTGCAACACCTCAAGATAGAAGTGAAGACCACTATTTTCCATCGGATCTAACTGAAATGATTATTTTTGTTTTGCATTATTAGCAACTTTTGATGCAAATATTGGTGTTAGTTGGATTGCTGTTAGTTTTCAGCACTGTATGGCCATGTTCCAGAAGCATTCACTCCTGACATTTCACCCACATCTATGGCAGGCATCCTCAGAGGTTATGAGATCTTAGTGTTAGTTGTGTAATTGCATCCTCAATACTTTTGCCAAAGAGTGGTAACATTACTTTGAGAGTGTGTGCATGAACATATTCAAATGTATTGTGAATTGCCTTAGATACTCAGAAAAGGGGATAAAAGAAATATAAAAATGTAATTAATGACTGAATCTATTGTAAGAACCTGAAATTAGAAATCTCTGAAACAATAATTTGAAAGTGTTCTATTTCCAGTGGATATTGGTTGACCCAGAATTATATAGAATTGTTTAATTAATATAATTATACTTTTCATTTTTCCAGTGTGATGGTCAGAGGGCAATGATAATTACTGGCCCTAACATGGGTGGAAAGAGTTCTTATATAAAGCAAGTTGCATTGATTACTTTGATGGCACAGATAGGTTCCTATGTACCTGCTGAGGAAGTCAGAGTTGGAATTGTGGATGGCATATTTACCAGGTGAGAATGTCAAAGCTGTATTTAAAGAGAGACTGAAAAAGTAACACTAATTTCAGCAAACACTTCTTTGTATGTGTTTCCTGTATAAATATATATGATTGCAAGTTTTCTAAATGTAGTTTTATTCTATGGTTGCTACAGCATTGTGGGATTGTAAACGTAATGCTCACTTGCAGCTGAAATTTCAGGTATGGCCTGAGTAGGATACCCATTAGCAAGGGAATGAGTTTATACACTTCCCCTCCCTATCTAACTTTTAGCTTGCACTCATCCCCTCGCCCTGCAGCCTTCTGTCTTAGAAACTCAGGAAAAACTTCAAATTTTTGAAAAATAAACACAAAAAGTGGGGTCGAAGCAGTCCTAATCTGTGCTGCTTGGACCAACTTGAAAAATCTTGGGCTAGGATTCCCATATAGTCCACATCGATTAAATGATTGAGTCTTACTAGTTTAAAAATAAATGTCTTATTCTTAATATGCAAATTTTATATATGCACCAGACATTTTAATGTATTTTTGTTCTCCATTATTATAAAATAGTACAAAATGAAGAGTGATTGACTAACACTTATATCTGGAAGAGATGCTTATTTAGTAAGATTAGGAGTGTGGGCGGTAAAACCCTTTGAATGTATTTCACAATTTCAAGGGAAAAAGTATGTACTTTAATACAGAATTGTAAATGTACTTGATAGTTTCAGGGAAGAATAGCAACATCAAGCCACTAGCAGTGACAAATTGACATCTCTTCAGTTTACAAAATTAGTGCCACTACATTTTTATTTTTTTTTATAAAAAGATGTTTACCATAAAATGTGTGAGACCAAAGAGTACCTAGCAGAACAAAGTGCTAAACATGATTCACCTAATGGAATCATAACAGGAACATGCAAATTATTAGAGAACTGGAAAAGTGCCTAAAGACAGAGGGAGACCAAAGACCCAGGTAACTGTTGACCATTCAGTTCAACTGAGGTCCAGAAAATGTTTTAGAACAGATAATTAAACAGTCTATTGTCGAAGGCTTTCATGGCCAACATCACTGGGTTGCTGTAAGTTTTTCAAGCTGTATGCCCATGTTCCAGAAGCATTCCTCTCCTGATGGAAACATTCTTTGCCTGCATCTATGGCAGGTATCCTCAGAGCCTTGAGGATGCCTGCCATAGATGCAGGTAAAACATCAGAGAGAATGCTTCTGGAATATGGCCATACAGCCCAAAAAACGTACAGCAACCCAATTAAACAATCATTTTTTTCAAGACTAGAACTATTTAGAACCAGCATGGTTCCCTCGAAAGAAGTTCATGCCAGACCAATCTCTCCTCTTTTTTAATGTATGTCATTTGTAGTTTTCTAGATAAGGGGGATACTGTAGGTATCGTTTATTGTGAGTTCAGTATGAATTATGAGAAGATAATTATATTCTTGTAGAAGAGTTGGTAAAATACTGTTGAGTATATTTGTAGTTGATGGAGCCCCCAGTGGCGCAGTGGGTTAAAGCGCTGAGCTGCTGAGCTTGTTGACTGAAAGGTCACAGGTTTGAATCTGGGGAACCGCATGAGCTTCTGCTGTCAGTCCCAGCTTCTGCCAACCTAGCAGTTCGAAAACATGCAAATGTGACTAGATCAATAGGTACCACTTTGGCGGGAAGGTAATGGCGTTCCATGCAGTCATGCCGGCCACATGACCTAGGAGGTGACTATGGAAAACGCCGGCTCTTTGTCTCAGAAATGGAGATGAGCATCACACCCCAGAGTTAGACACAACTGTATTTAATATCAGGGGAAAACCTTTACCTTTACTAACCTATATTTGGAGTTGAGTAATGAATAGAACAAAGATTAATGAATGAAACTTAAGGTGATTTCCTGTCATCTTTCTGAGAGGTGACAAGGGCAGAGTTCTTGGATGGAGAAATTGGCATCCTCATCAAATGTTAATATTACACCAAGCTGGAAACAGTAGTGCATATCTCAGAATACAAAGTAATAATTTGATTTGAACAAAACTGGGTCCCCGGTGCGAATCTTTAGTTTGCAGGAAAGGTCCTGCATTTAAGCAGGTAAAATAAGGCACAGATGCACCACCTGCCCGTTTGGAGGGGAAGAAAATTTGCAATCATGCATAAAGATTCTACTTGCCATAGTAGCGCCTTTGAGGCTTTGCACCTTGCGCTGTTCCAAAGGACAGAGCAGAGATACTGTTTGGATATTGCCTATTTTGTTGCCCAGCAGCCTCCCTATCTCAACTAGCACAGGCCATCTGAAAAGTGGTGTTAGCGAACAGTAACTTGTAGGAAGAAACTTCAACTCCATACCAAGGATGATAGTTTCAAGGAGAGATTTCAACACCCATGCCAAGCTTCTTTGGGTGGGGATGGTTTGAAAAATGATGGGATTGTCTCAATGCATTATTGACCAAATTCATGTTGACAGTACTTGCATCTCTTTTGGTTTTTGCTCATGGACAACTATACTTTGCAAAAGGTTAAACAACCATGCTGTCATGGTCAGATCACTTTCTTGTGAAATTTGATTTGGTGGTAGCAGGCCCTCCCAGTGGCAATTTAGTTGAGGCCTTGATTTCATTTTAGAATAATAAGATGGAAAGGGCTGCCATTCCTAAGTACCTATTTCAGTGCTATGAAACCCATAATTCACCTTGGCATGCTGAAGGCAGTAAAACAGGATGGTTGGCAGATAGAGTGCGTGTGTTATGGCCACAGAATAAGAATTATGGAAGATCAGTGAAAAGCTTCATCTTGCTTTTTACGTAGCAGTGAAATGAGAGGGAAAACTTTAGCATGCATCTCTCTGTTTCATAAGATGTGAATCGGGCTCAAGGACAACTTTGGTTGCCTTCAGTAATAAATTTACTAGGCACTTCAATGAAGAAGTTTCTTGTATATGCTCAGATCATGATACCAGGTTTATTGCAGAGTTTGATTAAGAGCCCAGTGGTTGATCTAATCAGGTTTCTCAGGATTAGTTTCATGCTTCTGTGCACAAGATGCTTGAATCACTATCCTGCTCTGACATCAAAGCTGTTCTGTTAGCATAGAGCCCAGTTGGTTGAAGCCAAGGGTGTGTATACAACATTATAGAAAAGTTTAATGGGAGGTCAGAATTGCTATCATGAAAGAGGTGAAGAGTGTGTGCTGAGAACAGTCCAAAGTTGAGAGTGTGGTAGTAAAATCTACATGAAAAGATCTGAGGGATTCAACAAACATCATAGACAGTGTGGTTCATAAACAGCAGTCAATATTCCAAATGGAGATGGGTAAAATGTCAAGACAACTAATGTTTCCAGAATTTTTCACAGCACACAAACCCATGGTTCTTCATGGGTATTGTGTTAATGTCAATTTTTAATTCATTGTCGAAGGCTTTCATGGCTGGAATCACTAGGTTCTTGTAGGTTTTTTCGGGCTATAGGGCCATGTTCTAGAGGCATTTCTCCTGACGTTTCGCCTGCATCTATGGCAAGCATCCTCAGAGGTAGTGAGGTCTGTTGGAAATAGGAAAATGGGTTTATATATCTGTGGAATGACTGGGGTGGGGCAAAGAGCTCTCTGCTGAAACTAGGTGTGAATGTTTCAGCTGACCACCTTCATTAGCATTTGAAGGCCTGGCTGAGCCTGGGAAAATCTTCTGTTGAGAGGTGTTAAGATGTGCCTGGTTGTTTCCTCTCTGCTGTTTTGCTGTTGTAATTTTAGAGTTTTTTAATACTGGTAGCCAGATTTTGTTCATACATTTTCCCAGGCTCAGCCAAGCCTTCAAATGCTAATGAAGGTGGTCAGCTGAAACATTCACACCTAGCTTCAGCAGAGAGCTCTTTGCCCTACCCCAGTCATTCCACAGATATATAAACCCATTTTCCTATTTCCAACAGACCTCACTACCTCTGAGGATGCTTGCCATAGATGCAGGTGAAACGTCAGGAGAAATGCCTCTAGAACATGGCCCCTATAGCCCGAAAAAACCTACAAGAACCTAATTTTTAATTCATTAGACAATTAAGGATGGATGAATATTTCTGTTAAAAATTCATTTGTACTGAATTCCAGCAGCCATTGTCAGCAAAATATTTAATAGTGTTTGCTTGAAGAGAATTGTTAACACTGCCCACATAATCAGTTTGCATGGTTGCAAACTTTAAATGACTGCTATGTGTCTAATAATGTTTAGGGTTGGTGGGGCTAATAAAAAGTCAGCTAAGAAATTCAAGCTGAAGAGAGCTGAGTTTAGTTCTCTGTTGGTATTTTTTAATGTTGTTTGTTTTCCAGAGTCCCTGTTTTATACTGACATTTGTGATCATTACTGATCAATCATATTAATAGTTTATATCTACATCAAGTAATAATGTCTCTCTTTTTTGTTTCTGTGACTTTATTGAGTATACTTTGTTACAGAGGATAGCTAATCCAATTGTAAAAACAGATTAAACAATGTTGCTGATTTATGAAAAAAAATCAGTTCCTGTTACACATTATCTAAAAGACTCAAAAACATACCCCTATTATAATGTTAATAAAGGCAAAACAAACAAATTTTATTGTTGATGTTAGATAAATTTACATTTTTAAAAAATATCTTGAAATAACAAGCTCCTTTTAAAATTGCTTGTTGAACTAAATCATCTGTGAATCTATTATTTAAAATGTTTTATTCTGTAGAAAAAAACATAGAAATTATTTAATTGCTTATTTCTGCCAGGTTGAATTTTCAGTGTGTTGATAACTTGAAGTCATTATATTCAAATTCTTTTTTCAGTTGGAATTCTGTTTGTAACCATATTAGTAGAGCATGGCGAGGAAAGCCTAATCAGCGCATCACAATAATATAGGATGGAGCCCCTGGTGGCGCAATGGGTTAAATCCTTGTGCCATCAGGACTGCTGACTGAAAAGTCAGCGGTTCAAATCCAAGGAGCGGGGTGAGCTCCCATCTGTCAGCTCCAACTTCCCATGCGGGACATGAGATAAGCCTCCCACAGGATGGTAAAACATCTGGGCATTCCCTGGGCAATGTCCTTGCCAATTCTCTCACACCAGAAGCGACTTGCAGTTTCTCAAGTCGCTCCTGACATGGAAAAAAAAGGATTATGGAGAATCCTAGTTTAATATGATAAAGCAATAGTTAAATGTGATCCACTTCCTCTACCAAAAATGTACACTTTAGGCTTCTATGTTTCCAAATTAAGAAAAGGAAAGTGGAAAAATTACCAAATTTTGGGTGGTGTTGCCATCTTGTGTGGTATGTGTCCTCTATACTGTGGATATCCCTTGAATTTATTACAAGTTAATTCCTTTTGTGAATGTTCGAAGAAATTGAATCATCTTAGTATCATTTATTTATATGCATAAAATGCCCAAATGCCTTTGTGTTTTAAATACAGTTTTGCCTTTTTGAGAAGAGTTAGAAGTATTGCTTTTGGAAGAGTAATACAACTCTTTGCTGTATGCCTTTAGCACATCATTTGTATTATATGTTACTGTTGTAAAATTTAAGTTAAATCTGTTTATAATGAACCAAATCAAGATTAATTTTAAAAAGTGATTCTCAAAAAATTGTTAAAACTAAAATTGATAAAAACAATGGCTATCGTTTCAATGTAAGTCCTGGCTTGACAAACAAAAACAGCACAAATCATTCATGGTCTGCCTTTGGCATTTTCTTATGTTGTGGTTTGCTGTTGAATGTGTCTTATTTTGTAGCTCTTTCGGGGTATTAAACATTGATTCAGAGTTCTGATAACTTTTCTAAATACCACAGTTCTTATATTTGTTTGGTTGCCTACATGTTTCAGTAGTCAGATAAGGTTGTGAGGAACAGAGTATACAGTAAAATTGTTTACTCAAAATGCATATGATTTTTGCCATTGCATGTGCTAATTAGAAAAGAATACTGTTGTGTGATGGTTTTGTTTATTTTGTGTCTGATAAAATTGATAAGCCTTGCTTTTATTGCAGAATGGGCGCCACAGATAACATATTCAAAGGTCACAGTACTTTTATGGAAGAACTGACAGATACAGCTGACATAATTAGAAAAGCAACTTCACATTCATTAGTAATTTTGGATGAACTTGGGAGAGGAACCAGCACACATGATGGAATAGCAATTGCTTATGCTACTTTAGAATACTTCATTAGAGATGTAAGTATATTATCTAATTTTGAATAGCTGTTGTTGTGAATAATGAGAGACATTCTTTGACATTGTAACCACCCGAATTCTAGAATCTTGGAGAAATTATGTTTAGAGCAACTCACACAGCATAGAAGGCAGATGGAAAGGTAGTAGGTCTCACCTCAGTTAATGTCATATATCCTCATATCTGAAGTCATAGTTTTCATGGAGTATTCTCAGACCCTGACCTTGGCTAAACTTCCACTGAGGGGTATTTCAAATGTGTAGGAGCACTGAACCTTTGTCTTTATATTTATGGGATTTTTTTTTTAAAAAAAAAAGTCAATGTAGCTGTGGTATTTACCAGAATGATGTGTTTAATCTCTAGCTGAGAACTGGCTCCTTTTCTCTCACATTGACAGAGCTGTGTTTAAACACAGTAGGATACAGGAAGAAGCCTTGGGCTTGTATGCCTTCTCTCACCCTTTGTAGAAGATTGAATAGAACCTATAAGTATGCAAGTGAGTTACGTTGAATATTTATAGTCCATCTGCCATGGAACAAATGTACATATTACATATTGCTCTTGGGAGATTAAAAAAACCAGTGCCAAAGGTGAAGTGTTAGAGTTATATGTCTCTTTGACATGGTGAGTCATTTTGGTCTACAGATGGCTCTTCCAGTAGTCCAAGGTGGCCCCACATACATCACACTGCAGTAGTCTAAGCTTCAAGTTATACTGGTGCTTTGCTAGTAGTTTTTTTTAAGTTAGCATTTTCATCAAATGTGTGGCCAAAGATAGCCATGGACTGTCACCATCTGGGAATGGATCCAGCATTCTAAGATTGTGAATCTCTATCAATTTAAAAAACTGAATGACAGCTATTAATGTAGTAGTCATGGGGCAGTAGTCTGCTGATGTGCAATATATCAGACTCCTTGGTGAAGAGATGACATTATGTGTTGAATATGAACTCCTCTGACCCCAACTGTATGTTTTAAAAAGATTATTGGTAATGATACTATATGGCTTTGCTGTTAGCTTTCCAATTTTCAAATCTGAATGCATTTTCTTTTTGTAGGTGGGTTCACTGACACTGTTTGTCACCCATTACCCTCCTTTATGTGAATTAGAAAGGGTTTACCCAAGACAAGTTGGAAACTATCACATGGCCTTTTTGGTGAATGAAGATGATAGTGAGAAAAAAAGAGGTATACTATCCAAGTTACCTAACTGGTTATTTCCTTCTTGCAGTGCCTCCTTGTTATTCAGATTTACTTCTTCTTATCACATTTAATATTTGAAGAAAGGCAACTAGAGGTGTTTTAAAACTGGCGTATGTTAGTTGGAAGTAACTTCGGAGATACCCGTCATTATTAAAACATAACATGAGGATAATTGTGAGGTCTTAATAGAAAAGTCTTATTTTATTTCTCTAGGAATGAAAGATGAAGAAAATCCCGAATTTGTCACTTTCTTGTATCAAATAAAAAAAGAAGTTGCTGCAAGAAGTTATGGGCTAAATGTTGCTAAACTGGCAGATGTTCCTGAAGAAATCCTTAAAAAAGCAGCTCACAAATCAAAAGAGCTGGAAAGATTTGTGGATATTAAAAGGTTAGAGAGTAAATTGATTGATCCCTTGCTTTAGTAGTGACATTTTTACATGAAAGTAAATTTTCGGTACTGTTGTATTATCTGGGCAGCGGGCACTATGGGGCGCTAGTGAGAGAAGGATTTTTTTTTTTTGTGGGTGGAGAATGGATTGAAGGAGGAAAACCATTTCTCTGTGTTTTGTTATTCCCCCCACCCATGTCCCTGTCATGGAAACAACCCTCATTTATGATAAGGGAAGTGGGGAGGGGGAAGGACCACCAAAAAAGGGGGAAATGGTTTTTCTCCTTCAACTCCCTCTCTGTAAATTGGACTATCCTATCTGTAGCGACTCCCTAGTGGCCTCTGCCTGGATAATGGAACAGTACCAAACTTTCTAAGTAGTCATAAAAAGTAGGTTTAAAAGATTCTGATACCTCAATACTTAATTGTATTGGTTTAAAACCAGTTGTTAGTCCCAGCTGAAGAAGAACTTTCAAATGAAGGAGACTTGTTAAGTCGCTGCTTATCTAAGTTCTGTTGATTCAGTTTGGGCTGAAAATATGATGTAGTCTATTACTGGAAAAATTAGGAAACAATGTTTTTCTCTTTATAATGACTTTGAATGATATGATGTAGTATACCTATGTGGTATTGAATCTCAGTGTGTGGTATTGAATCTCAGGTCAAGAAATCTGAAATAAATGACTTTTGAGGTTTATTCTTCTGAAACTGGGAAGAAGTGCAGCGTTGCATATATATTTCCATCCCACCTTTCTCCAGAATGCTGGTGGTTAACAGAGATTTAAGATTTAAAGAAAAGAATGAAACCCATTTCCATATTTCAAAACTTGTTTATTGCAGCATTTAAATGCTTCGATGGAAATAAATCAAGCCAAATGAATAGTTTGATTTATTTTTATTTTATTGTGTGAAGAATTTATTTTGGGCCACAGCTCTTTTGAAATGCTAAGCCAATATCCAGTGTAGTTACTTTTCACATGGAAGCAGCTGCCACAGCTGAAAACATACAAGTACAAAATCTTTATTTATTTATTTGCTTTATTTATACCTCACCTTTCTCACCCCATTGGGGGACTCAGTGCAGCTTACAGCTGGCTTCAAATGCCTCCTGAAGCCATCTCCTACATCTTAAACACTTGTTCTAGACCTTCCTATCCCTTATAAACATGCTCTTGAGGCTGTAAACTCCCTAGAATAGATTTTCATGCCAGAGAAGATTATAGTGGAGCCAGGTACTATTAATTAGTATCATGCTGTGTTTAGGTAGTATGTAGTGGGAGGGACACGGTGATAATTCTCTATAATAAAGATTTAAACTGCTTATAGTAAGTTTAAAAAGTAGACAGTTGAGAGTCATAATTCTGATGGTTTAAATATTAAGTCAGAAATCATTTAAAGGTACGCAACAATAGTGTGTTTGAACATAACTTCCTTTTAAATAAAAATTCAATTTCATTAAGCTTTGAATAGAACTTCAGGGTGGAAGCTGCTTCTGTTTTTCTCATTTCTCATGCTTTTGAAATTAAATGTAAATATCTTCCTAATGTTCTTTTTAATTAGACAAATGAATGATTTTGTTGATTAGTTGCTGTATTCAGAAAAATGACTAAGATATTTAAATGTAATTTGCAATAAATACTAATACTTTCTGGGTTTTTGTTTCTGTTTTTTAGAAAAAGACTGTTGGCCTTTGCTGAATTATGGAATATTCACAGTGCTGGAGAACTGCAAAAATGGAAAAATATGCGTGAATCAGATTAGATACAACCCTAAAATTTCTTCAGACTCTCCCAGATGAAAATGCAAATAGCATAGGAGGTTTAAAATAACTGATTAGACAAAGAAAGACTTGCAAACTGAAATTTCAGAGCCCTTAATGAATATAGTGGTGGACTTTACATGGCTAACATAATCAGGGTTGTTTAATTCATATAAACCAGCACCGGTTATAATTTAAGAAGCTAGTTGCTAGAGGACAAACTAGACATCAGAAGTTTGTCTTGTGGGACAAACTAGATATCAGAAGATCCACACCTTTTTATTTTATGGAAAAGTTTGTTTTTGAAATGTAATTACAAAAAGAAAAGACAAACCAAGCAACTCTACAAATGGTTTTACAAATAGCAACAAAATTAAGTACCTGTTGATTAGCCCTGAAATCTGAACTCAGCTCAGTTTTCTCCACTTTCAGCTTTGTTTTCCTGGATTTTTTTGTGTTCTATCCAATTTTTTACATTTTGTTTTATTGATGGGGAGCTGAGGAAGTCCGTATCACTAAATAGGTCATTGTATGAAGTTTACCTTTTTTTTTTGTCCTTGCTGAATTTGAATCATGATCTGCTTATGTATATTGTGCAGCTATGTTACCGCACTGAGTAAGCTGACTTAGACAAAATGCACAGCATGTTCTGCAGAGTAGTGTGAATGGGTAGGGTGAGCTTGCAGAGCAGGTAGTGATAATAGGAGATGGCTGTTTCATGAAACCCTTAGAAAAGGGCTGGACAATTCTTCAGCGGAAGACTGGAGGAATCTGGATATCGCATCTGTACTCATGAGGACAAGAAATGTAGATCAGCATACGATATGGATGAGCTCTACATTGCCACACCAGACCTCTCCACTCTGACCCCTTTTGCCTTTTTGTTCTGATACTTTCTTGCTTTCTCCTTCCTTCACATGTCATCCAGAAGATCCATGTTTAAATTCTTATTTTATAAAAAAGGAAATCAAAATTGCTATGGAGCTGAGGTACCTTTCATCCCTTGAGAAATGTTTAGTTGAAATCATTCTGAAGCGCATTGGAGAGAAGTATATAGGTATTCCAGATGGCTCATTATTTGTTTTTCCCATGGGACAAACAATGAGAGAGGATACTTTGGGAAAACATATGCAGAGTGTTATGCCCAGAGTGGCTTTTAATTTTGAAACAAATGAAGAAGTCTGTCTTCTGGTGTCTCATCTGTTTTGGTAGCCTGTAATATAACTACTGCATTGGAAAATCACTGAATGAACCTTTTACATGGGCTTTAATATCAGGGCTATAAGAAGGTGTCGAAAATTTTGTTGGAAGAAATAAATAGAATGTATTTTTCTTCTACCAGAATTACCAATCGTTCCTACCCTCTTATATTCTGAAAACTTTTTCTAAAGACTTGAAGAAATGGTGGGTCAGGTTTTTGGTGCCATGGAGTCCTGCAGAGGGGCAGATGAGGGAGAAGAAGAGAAATTATGTCTTGATTTTACTGATGTTGAAATGGAAGTGCAAAGTGAGATCTGGTCCCATTTTCCCAAACCTTGAGAATTATTTAAATATAATAGACATCTTTAACTCTAATGTTTCATTTTTAATATTCCTTCCTAATGTCTAATCAGTTTATTCACTGAAAATACAAGTATTTTATTAAATGACCTCATATGATGTTTCACAAAGGCAATCCTTGTCTGTGTCTGCTCCAAAAACCTACTTAATTAAAACACATATTTTGAAAGGTTTTTGCTGTTAGATGAAGTTAACTGGAATTATTGATGGAAAAATCATGAAAACCATATTCATAAGTTATAGGGAACTAGTCTTGTATTGGAGAAAAGGTTATTTAAAGACTACATTTTGTTTCTGGATCAGTTACAATGACAGAATAATAAATCATGCTTTGAATTAATATTTATTAAGGTTTATTTATGAAGAAGATGTTTAAATTCAACTGTATCAAGTCTAAGTAAAGAGTACAAGAAAGCCAATTTTAACTATTTACAGTTTAACTCAGGAAAAATAATTCAAATGATTTAAAACATATTAAATCATTTAAAGCAGGTTAGAAGTGCTTAAAACGATGTTTATGTACAGACTGGATAAGATATTCAAATCCCAAATTGTTGTAAAATAATATGATAATTCTATTTGCCATCTGTTCAGTTGTACAGAAGTGTATTTTCATACTTTATGGAATTAGATTTAATTTTTGAAATATGGGTACTGGTTGCTTGCCTCATACATGACTGTGGCATTGTCAGCCTTGTGATGATAATACTCCTGTGGTGACTGTGCCTCAGTATTGCCACACTCTTCCCAAGTGTGTACAACTATCAGGATGCTCAGTGAATTCAATTTCTGACATGAAAAAGGGTATTCCTAATATAATGGGCAATTCCCCTAACTTTTTGCTCTCATCTAGCTTCAGTGGTAATAAGTGATATATTGCCCAGGCAGCAGGTGTGGTTATGCTAGAAAAAAAATAAAAGTTTATGAAATACAATTCAATACGTTTATGGAACTTTGATTTTAATAACTGAAAACCACCTAATCTTGTGGCAATACGTAGTACACCACCACTCAGTCTCTTATACTCTAAGACTGTTTCTATTGCAATCTACCCTAATCCTACCTCTCAATCTCAGCCTTTGAGCACCTCACACTCACTTTCAGATTTGTCCAACCTCACATAATCTTCTCAGACTCCTTTAAGCATATTGATTATCTAACATAATACAGTTCAGTATAAAAACAGAAACTATATTTCCCATAGATAGACTAGAAAGCTCCTGCAGCAACCATGTTTAAGGTGCTGATTCACACTTGCAGTAACGAGTCCTACAGTTTTATTGCTGCTGACTTGTTGGCTGCCTTCAAGTTCTTTCAGATTAGCAATGACTCTAGGATGAACCTATAGCGAAACTATTATGAAGTTTCCATGGCAAGATTTCAGAGGAAGTTCTCTGAAGGTTTTTAAACAGAAGCTGTATGGCTATCTGTAAGGCATGCCTTGATTGTGTTTTCCTTCATGACAAAGATTAGACTAGATGGCCCTTATGGTTTTTTCTAACTCTATGATTCTAAGTTTGCCATTGCCTTCTTGTGAGGCTGTGACTTGGCCAAGGTCACCCAGTAGGTTTCAATAGCTAAGTGAAGATTTGAAGCATATTACTTTAGTCCAGTAGTAAATGTTTCACTTCCAATCTCCATTCTGGTATTGTATGGGGAGCTGACGACATCTTCAGTCTTGCTGTCAGCAATGGCAAGCATTGACAATCTGATCATATTGAGCCTCAGTATCATATAAAACTTCAAGGAACAACCCAATTCTCAGTATCTACAACTTCACCTCAGCAGTGGTGCAACATGTTGCAGACTGTGTGGCTAAAGTAATGTCTGATGCGATACCATTAACACTAAGCATAATTTCACTCCATTGGTGTTTTGGAAGTGGGACTTCTGTTCTATGGGGAAAGGCCTATATCAGTCTAACAACCTCATCTGACAGCAGGAGCCCACCACCTCCCATTCTACGGCGGGAGGCTCCATTGTAAAACTAGAGGAACCAGTGCATGCAACTGTGGCGCCAATACAGGAAGCTTCCCATGTTCAGTTGAGGGGGCGGGGAGCCAGGCGGCAGATGCTTCCCCCCCATTAGATGAGGTTGGGCAGAAACTAGCCAATGCGAGGGGTGGGGTGCAGGGGGCAACAGGTTTCCCATTCTTGCTGCCAGGCAGAACCAGATGCACCATAACACATGGCAATTCCAGTAGCCTATCTGATAGAAGTCGTAAAACATGAAGTGATGTCCCATGTTTTTAAGGCTTGTACAACTGCAAAGGAGGCATTCAGAGTGCAGAATCAACATCAAAGAACATACCGATTGTATTTAAAAGTAGCCTCCATCAATATCCCTTTACAAGGTTTAAATCACCCTTGGAACTCAGCGGAAGAGACTACACAAACAGTCAGCTGAGATCCTCAAATTGGTATTCAGACTCCTAAGTTGCTCCTTTAACCTCAATCCCAGCCATGGTTTGCCATTCTGTTCCAGCTGTCTCTAGGTCGGTTCATGAAGCTTCCTGTGACTACTAACTTTTGTCACATTATCAGGGTGAACAGCTTCATTCCAACATCAAAGTGCTCTGCATAGTGCCCCATGGAATCAGTCCCTACACGTATTTTCTGTCCTTTTAAGTTATATGTCTATAACTGGTGCCATTTTTGTATCTTAATGGAGGGTAGATCTGCTTCAACAAGTGAATATAACCCAACTTCAAAGTTGATATTTCTAGTAGCCATCACTTCTGCCCCAAAAGTAAATTAACTTGCTACGCTGTAGTGTGATTAGCCTTTCCTTTGTTTCCTTGGGGATAAAGTAGTTCTGCACCTTATCTCATTTTTCTTCCAAAAATTGTCTTGCAGTTCCACATCACTGAGGATATAATTCTTCCTATCTTTTCACCAAATTAAGCTTTACCTCTTGAGAGATAGCTTTACTTTCTGGACCTTGGGCAAAAACTTGCATTCTGCATTCATCATACAGGTTTTCTAAGCAGGAATCCAGGCTATCACTTGCAAAAACTCTGTTCTACCTAGCATAAAAAAGACAACAAAGCTTGTCTTTTCTGAAGCTTTATTCAGAGGTGTCTATATACAGTACCACAGCTTTATAAGGCAGCCACATGGTCTCAGTCCTGTACTTTCACTGAACACTACACTTGGACTCATTTAAATTGCAAACTTACATAATTTTTGTTTCAGTGGTCAACTTGTTGTCCACTCTGTGTTACAGTGAGACCACACTGCCTACAATGGTCAACTTGTTTACTCATCTGTGTTACAGTGAGATCACAACGAAGACCAGGTTGCTTACCTTCAATGGTGACTGCTCACATGTGCTGTCACACAATCTGTACTCCCCCCCCCCCCAGTTGAAACGGAGTGGAGGATATTTTGGTGGGCTAAGGTTGGAATAAGGAAATTGAATTTCTGTCAAAAGCGCTAGGTTCTAGAACAGTGATTCTCAGCTTGTGGATCTCCAGGTGTTTTGGCCTAAAATTCCCAGAAATCCCAGCCAGTTTACCAGCTGTTAGGATTTCTGGGAGTTGACCAAAACATCTGGGAACCCACTGGTTGAGAATCACTGTTCTTGAATGGGTCAAATGGGGACACTGTGTGAGTGCAATGCCCATTTATGTGAGGGTACGGGTCATTACTTGGAAGAGCCACAGTTGCAAGTATGCAACTTGTTTTTTGCTCTATTTGCTGGCAGTCTGCAGAAGTTCCCTTCAAAGGCTACATGCTCCTAAATGAGCAAATTGTAGAACTAGAGGCCATTCCAGATAGCACTTTAATGCGAGTGCAATCGGGTTTTAAAAACCCAATTGGACTCACATTGAACTCCACACATGCTCTAGAAAGCTTGTGCTTTTCTGGGGTGGCTGTCCAGATGCCTTGCTGGACTTTCCAGCAGGTCACCGAGACACAAAACAAAATTCCCCAGAAAAGCCTTTAAAAGGGAAAATAACTTATCTGGCTGCCATTCCCCCTTCTGTGGAGCTCTCCTAGCATGTCATTTTTAGAGCTCTAGAGAAGGGGGAATGGTGGCCAGGTAAGTTATTGTCCTTTTTAAAGGCTTTTTAAAGGGGTTTTGCATGGGGGCCCAAGAAACCCAAGACAGCTATGTAGATGGGCACCGAAAGTCACACAGCACGATCCCTGGTCTTCATCTACACAGCACCCACAGTTGGAAAGATCTGGGCTTTCTGACAAATTACTTCGGCAGAAAGCAGGTTTTCCTGCTTTTGCCGGAGTAATTCATTTTTACCTGAGGCGTCATTTGGACACCCAAGGGAAAAAATTAGGAGGGCGTACACTTTAGGTGTTATCTGGATGTGCCCTAGGATTGGAGAATGTAGAAGAAAAATATATTACAGATTTTAATAGCATAAAAGCTAGTTTTTCTAAGTTTGTATACATAAATTTGTCTTCGAAATTGGGCATGTGAGCATGGCAACTTTTTGTTCTTTTTAATATATAAGTATAATTTAAACAAAAGTAATGTTATAAATATTTCCTGCTGTGTTTCTGTATAGTCAATACTTATTTGGATTTGTAATTACCATTAATTGTTTGTCAGGATTAAAATTAGAAAAGGGAGCAAAATGCTCCTGAGTAGACATTAAAAACTAAAGCTTTAATAGCTTTTCCTGCCTTGCTTAGATACAAAATTATTTCTGCACAACGCATCTGCAGATAAGGAGCTATCATCAGTATCTTGTTCCAGCTACACCTCTACTAGGAGGTGAGTTTCATTTCTCTCCAGCATGTCAACAGAATGTCATTGATATAGATTCTTACTGGAAATACCCCCTTTTGTTGTCTTTCATTTCTGAGACCAGCCTGGTTGCTTTGTGTTATGCAGCCACAGAAGACAACAGCCAGGTTGCCATGGCACAGCCATAATTGAGCTCCATAATGGCTCCCTGATTAGTATTGTGATGGCTTAAAAATAATAAGAAATATGTTTTAATTCTAGATTTGAATTGTAAGTTTAGTCACATCTTGGAATGTTACTTTTTGTCAGAGGACAGCTGCCATCAGTTCTATTTTTCATGTCTGTGTAGATGTTGAAACTTTTCAACCGAGTCACAATAAAATTGGTACAAAGAGTCATTGTATAGCAACTGAACATATAAAACATTAGGGATGTAATACACTATATGTTGTTATAGCACATTTCAATAAGATCCGAGGCAATAGTGTCTCTTCATTCATAGAGTTCTGGGTTTCTGAATTTAGGATAGTATCAAGAATATATATTTTTTAATTCCTCCTTTTTCTCTTTTTGCAAAATGCAGTCATAGAGAAACCCAGGATTGCAAAAACAAGTTTTTTCAGCATCGTTTATATCACTGCTATAAATCTCTTTAGAAGAGTTAGAGATGTCTTTTTGTCCAGAAGCGTTTCAAAGAAATTGATTTAATATATATGCTGTGTAGTCTGCCTTTGACACCTGGTCTCTAAAGAATCCTATTGATCTTAATGGAATAGACACTTTGAAGTACTGTGAACTCACCTATCAAAAACAATTCCGAACCTTTAAAAATAAAAGAAGACCTTTGAAAGTTAAAAAAAAAATAGCTAATACTAACATCCTTCTAAGGTTGATACTTTTTTTCCTGGCAAGCAAATGTAGTGGAGACTTGCCTGCCGAACTTGAATGTTACTCTTAGTAGTAGAAAACAATGCATGAACATCTTGTTGCACCTTTGAGACCAAGGGCCCTTCCACACATCCCTATATCCTTAAAAATCAAAGCAGAAAACGCCACATCTGCTTTGAACTGGAATATATGGTTGTGTGGACTCAGATAACCCAGTTCAAAGTATATATTGTGGGATTTTCTGCATTGGTATTCTGGGGTATAAGGCTGCTTTTTTTCCAAAGGAAGCAGAGAGTGTTTGAGGACTGGGACTTCCATAGGGATACCAAGGTACT